TTTTATTTATACCAAAAAAAAAAAAAAAAAGGGAAATAGAAAAAGGGAATTGTGGGTAGAGCCATAAGAATTATAAGTTATCTAAAATTTGGATGAGTTTGCCACATACACAAACCTAGCTAACCATTGAAGTCTACATCTTCACTCTTTTTGTAGCCATTGGAATTTTATGGGTCCTTGTCAATCCATTGAAACAGCGGTTTGCTCTCTATGTGGGCCGAAAAGAGAAATGTGGGCCTAAAAAGTGCATATTAATGATATTCTGTGGGCCTTTCATGGAATAGGCCCATTTGTTCTTTTTGGGGATATAATATGCTAATATTAGCCAACAAAATTTCAAATTAATCTGGAAAGATACAGCCCGCCTTCAAATCATGTGTTTTATTTATTGTAGAATTTTAAAAGAAAAAAAAAAGAAAAAAAAAGTAGAGCCATCATTGTCATAAAATGCATTTCTTTTCGAAGTTGGAGTTTAAATTTGATTGTGGATTTCATATATAATTACAGTTAATTATCGCTTGATATTGTGATTGAGTTACATTTGATCACAAGTTCCGTTAAATAATATATCAAATTTTGATTAAAATTGAATCTGAAATTTAATTTAGTTAATTTGTTCAGTTACTTCAAGAGATTGTATCCACTAAATTTGAAATTAAAATTTTAGTACTTATAATCTCTTCAATTTTTTTCAATTATGTTAAATTTATTCTAAATTAAAAAAAAAAAAAAAAACATGGGCAAATATTGCTTTCAATTGCAATTGTCAAACTAAACCCATTCCCTTAGGTGGCTCTGTTTGATTTCAGAAAATAATTTTTGTTTTTATTTTTTTATAAAATATATTTGGTAATAGAAAATAAATATTATTTTTTTAAAATGTAAAAATAAAAAAAAATAAAATATTTAATGATGTTATTATTAATGTCATCTAATTATAAATATAATATATATGTATTAATTATTGACATTTAAAAGTGTTCAAATATGGTAAATTACAAAACATTTAAAAAAAATGTATATCCTTACTTTTCATAATTGAAAACATCTTTTTTTTTTTTTTTTCATATTTCAACCCATTTTTATTTTTGTTTTCTAAAAATTTGCTTTCATTTTCAATTACTAAACACGTTTTTACTCATATTTTTTATTTTCTAATAAATTAAAAATAAAAAATAACATTATTTTTTGAAACCAAACATTACCTTAAAATTTTAATTATAAAGATTTCAAATTCGATAATAAGGAATTTGGAAAATAACTATTTTCTTCTTGTATAACAAATACAATTTTACCTACAAAACAAAGAAAAGGCTTCAACTTCAATAACACTTCCTCAATCCATCCAAAGAAATAAAACATCATATATTTGTAGTTTCCAAACTGCCTTGACTTTCCTCCCTTGTATGCATATTCAAACTCTAAACAAATTTTATCCTTGTTGGAATTGGTATATCATCAAAGGGGTCGATAGGGATTCTTTTGTCTGGATCAATGTGTGTTTATTTAATCTCTCTTGTATTTTAAGTTATGTACATGAACTTTGCTTAGGCTAATAATCATCATTATGATCATAATATATAAGCATATAAAAATAAAAGATAATGATGGAAAAAATATAATGCATGATTATTAGTTTTGAGTTAAAAAGAATTAGAAGGTGTTGATAAAGATCAAATCAGTGTATAATCTTTCTAATAATGCATATAGTTGTTAGCAAAGTTATTGAAAACTTAGTTCGCCTTTCAAATTTACAAATTACATTATTTAACGGAAAACAAAGCAAAACAAAGAGTAAATGATTAAGTTTTCTCTTACATCCTTACGTTGTTTACGTTGATTCGGATGTGATGAAATTAAATCAAATCCATGTTCTTGAAGTGGTTCATTTAGGTCAATGTCAGAGGCGTTGAGGCAATGGACTTTAATGCCAACCGCAAAAGCTCCCAGGAAAGGTATTTCCTTTCCTACGCATGCGTTTGGTAATCAAACTATTTTAAGTTTGTTATGGCTTGCTTAAAGAATTGAAAAATCTCGAAAATCGAGATAGTGTCATTTTGGACAAAGGATCACAACAATCTATACCGTTTACGTCTTGGACCACTTTACCAAATGGGTTCATGCCCACGTTTGCTATACAACAATGCACCTTTAAAACTTGAAATAGACATGAGCTGGCGTTGAAATGAGATATAAAAAAAATTAAAAGGTCTAATCTATTGCCTTTCGTTAACATAGCCACATGGTTTCCTTAATCTTCATTTAAAAAAAAAAAAAAAACAAAAGAAAAGTAAGTATTGAAAGATTGAAACAACTCGAGGTAATTGCCATATACTCTCCTTTATGACTCGAACAAGTTCCATCTAATTGGAAGATGATAAGGATGGCGACTCAATTATCTTATCCCTTGCAAAGAGAAATTGCTTTGCAAATTCTTACCCATCACCGTTTCAAGTCGCAACTTGAAAATAAAAAAAAAAGTTACAAATATTTAAATTTAAATTTCAAATATACTAAATATTATTTTTTAATGATGTGAATAATATTTTAAAAGCTATTTTTCAGCACAGTAATAAATTAGATGACTCAAACTTAAAATATATTTGTATAAATCCTTGTTTATTTTATCATCTAAGCTAAGTATAGGTAGGAATACTGAATTTATCGAGATTATCAAATTAATATGTTGAATAGCATTTAAAACATTGATATAGGGTATGCAATCCATGATTAGTGCTTAAGTATATGAACAATCAAGTGAAGATATAGATTAAATTTCCACAAGGTTTTTCTCAAGTAGAAATAAAACTAAAATTGATAGAGAAAGGAAATTGTTTGGCTACTTTTGGAAATTTAGTCATAAGCAGAACATGAACAACACAATTAGCTAATTTGAAGACAAATATGTAGAAGAATGCAACCTTAACATTTTCCTTAAGCCAAAGAGATGGAAAATGCTCGACGCTTTTCTTGATATTAACATTTAATCACTTCACATAAAACAAATCTAAGTAGCTATAATCATACAAAATTTGTCTAATATTTTATATTTGTAAGATTCAATTTTAATTGTTTAAGTAAGAATTCGTGCACTTATCTTTTAAACGAAATATTAGGAAGAAATTATTTAAAATTTTTTTTTAAATTAATTTTATATTGATAGTATCATCAAATATAAATCTTTAATAATATTTTTATACATGTCACCTTAACGAAATCACAGAGAGCCATATCCAAAAAAACCAGTGTAGAAGTTGTTCCTACATAATCCGAACAAATACATTTATGGGCAAACTTTCCTGGTGGAAAAAGGGGTTTCGTTTTTGTTTGTGCTATCTGTCTGTTTGTCTGTCAATACCCAATGGCTTTCCATACAAAAAGAGCCATTGCATTGCGTTCCTCAAATTGCCTTATCTTTACATTTATGGCTTATCATATATACACTCAGCTGCTAAGTTGTTTGAGCATGCAAATTGGGGAAGAGCCTTAGAACTGCTGCTAACCAGTTATTTTCTCATCAACATGTCCATTCCTCTTATCTCTATTCCACAATAATTGAGTGTTCCCAGGTCTCTATGAACATGCAATTTGGCTTCTTAATCATTTGAAAGACAATTAAAACTATATATATTCACAAGGCTACAAGAGAGCTGATATTGTGAAGTATGTAACAGTGACTAAAGGACTGGTTTGGTGATATATATGATGATTCTTACAATCTGTTGTGCTAATCGCTATTACCCATTTCTCGAAAAGGTTTAAATATCCGTTCCCTTGATTTTATTTACAAGAAAGTGAGACATTGTATTAATTAAGTGGTGGTAATCGGCTACTTGCCTATGGTACTGAGGCCAAAACCTGAAGGATAAGCTTGAATGGAGAAGTAACCAGTGAGCTTGTTCATTGTGCAAGAACGTGACAAGAAATTTTCAAATGTGGGATGCAAGCTGATATGATTCTTTAATGCGTAAGCTAAAAACGCATTAATATACCCTGATTCACCATCATGCAAATTGCTTGCATCCACTGTTCAAAACAATATGAATAAAATACAAATAAAATTTATCCTAGTACTTTTTTTTTTTGGTTTTTTCCATCCAAGCGGCTGATTTAGTACCGGAAACACATTTACTGAGTTGACCAGGAATTCATCTTAGGAAAGATGATAGAGAATCAGTTCCTTGGCCTTTTCTAGAGTCCTAGAAATTCATCACACGCTTTTTCCTCCGTAGATTATCAGTATAAAAGGAGCTTTCTTTTCCTTGTTTTGTTGCATAAACTAGATTTTAGGTGGCTATGATCAGTTCAGCATGAAGAATCAAAGGTTTGACCAAAAATAAATGTACCATTATGCAACAGTTGATTGATTAGCATTATATCTGGTTGTCAGCCTAATCAATGTTTCTGAAGACTTTTTCATGCGATTTTTGAAGGATATAGAGTAATTGGATTAGAATAATTAGATGTTAGAGTTGTGTTTTTTACCCAGAAAAGCAGAAATTGTATGTAATTTGTTTCTTGAAGATATATATTAAGAAAAAATGTTGATACAAGAAGAACACTTTTTCTACCGTCAATAATCACACCTTACCTCCAAAAATAATAGTACTAACACGAATAGTTTAACTATAACAAAAATTATCTCATATACTTTTGGTAAAATTTAAAAACTCCATCAATAAAAACTAATTTTCATCACATTTAATTTAGAAAATATTACATTGTAAGTAGATATAACAATTAGTGTATTTATATTATGTAACATAATGATAATTCATGTATTTGTATCATATTTTATAGAAAAATTATATTTTACAATTCATATCGACATACAAAAAAAATATATTTTTTATTTTTGTTAAACTCATAAATTTTATTAAAATTTTAAACCACCTTACTTTCTTATATTTTTTTATATTATTTTTGTATTATATCATCATATCAAATTTTTTTCATATCGTATCACCATACCATATCACTTTGGTATCATGTCACTATCATCATATTTTGAATTGACAAATCGTGTATAATAGAAAACTTGGTTGATACTTGGCCAATGGCCATTTACAAAGCACTAATTATTTGATACTTGATTGATACATTGCGCATGCTTTGTAGAAGCAATTGCTCGTGCTTTTCTATGGTTCTTTGTATAATTGTATTTATATATGTTTACTTTAATTTCACAAATGAAAGCCGATACAAACAATTAATATATGCAGAAGCAAAATGGGAAAAGCACCACAAATATGGTGTCTAAAAATAATACAAGAGGCAACATCTTGAAACTTTGCAAGGCCCAAACCCAGAAGGGAACAAATGATGCGGCGGCTCTTTCTACTCGAGCCTGCTTGTAGGAAACAAGAGATGTTCCACACCAACTTTATCTACCGTACAGGTTTTGCAGCTGTTTTAAGGGAAGAAAATAAAGACAATCCGTGAATCAGACGATAATGAAAAAGATAAGAAGCCTGAGTTGAAAATTTGCAGTCTGTTTGCAAGGGCTATTTTGTTACAGCAGGCAATCGGTAAAAGTTGAAAGCAAGCAGTCAAAGAATTAGATCAGAAAAAGACTAATGTCTGTTGTTGAACTTCCTAATAATTTTACACCTCACTTGCAACATGTAAGCTGTTACATAACCTTTCTCCCGAAACCTAAAAAGAAGGACCTACATTTGGCGAAAGAAGGCAACATTATCAAGAGATAATCATATATAAGCTTGAGAATAACAAACTACTGTTTTTGCACTCTGGATTAACTTTAATTTACCATTTACTTCCTTCAATATCATTTCTGCAGATGCTCCAGTGGAAAATCCGAGCTTTAGCATGAGTTTTTCCAAGCTACTCACATTTGTAAGGTAGAGATAAACCAATCTACAAAAAAAAAAGAAAAAATTATTAACAACTTAAATCGAAAGAAAATGATATTGAATTACGACTCATGACTTCTTTTGAACATATTAAATCTAAATACTGAATAACATAACAAATTGAATAATTATCTAGTAGATACAATACATGACCTTGGAGGACAAAATTAGAATGGCAAAACTTGATGTATGTACAATATAGTAATCCTAGCATGAATCAGAGAGAATCAGATACTCTATGGGTAGTAAATGAAATCTCAAAGATACATTTCATTTCTGTGGAAAACTGTTTTATTAAAATTGTATAAACTAAGTGGTAGAATTATATCATCAAATCTCTAGATATACTAGATGAAACATGACCTTATCCTCTTTTACCACAAGCAGATCCCTTGCGTGGCCTTGATTACCATGCAAATACAATGAAAATTCCAAAAAAAATCCTCATGAGCTGAAAACAGAATAGTCTCCCTCATTTTTTAGCAGCAACAAGTCATAAATGTCATAAATAAAAGATTCCAGAGCTGGTCAAATTTCGTGTTTATAAAAGAAACCAAATACTTTGGACCAAGTCATAGCTTAGTAGCAGCCACAACTTTCCTCTGAAAGAAGAATTCAAGTGCAAATCCCTTCGTCAAAACTAACAATAACTAAATAAATCAAATACTATTTCAAGGGAAGCACAATGAATTAGGATACTGACTAGTGTTTCAAGTGAAGATGCTGTATTATAAACTGCTGCACCTGCACACTTTTTTGTCCGTGATTTAGCTGAACTAATATTCTTTCCCCATCGAAGAACATCCCTGCAGTAAGAATGACCAAATGCTAGTTACAATTTAAAAGTATATATATCAAGAGTTTTTGCATAATCGTGTTTAAAAGGTTGTGCAAGCATAAGATTTCGAATCTCTAGATCTGTGCTGAAATGAGATCCACTACCGTCTCTTGAATCTTGATGCCTCTCCGTATGCAATGTAACTACTGGTTGGTGTACCTATTAGAAGCATTATTTATTATTACTTCTAGACTTCTAGTCATGTCATTACTACTACACATTGTACCATATCATGCAATCACTTAACTGCCTTAAATGTCAAGCCTTCTTCTGGTCTTATCACCATTTAGAACATATAAGAAACAAATAAAAAATTATATCATATCTCTTAAATCTTAACTATTCATCATGCGTTTGAAGAGTTTCTGCTTGAGCTTAATAGAGCACCATTTACTAGATATGTAGATAAGCTCCTAATCGCATGCAACTAATATAAAAGTTGTATTAAAATCATAGTATTATCTGAGATTATCCAGAATATTGCTTTCTTGAACAACAAATAATCAAACAATTGTTCCAAATGAGGGGTTATTATTATAAAAGGAAGGAACTTAATAGTCATTAGAATGTTTATTATAAGTCATTCGTAGGAGGCATTGCAAATGTCTGACTTTTCTAGAAGACTTTCAACCAATCGTTTTTTAGCATACACTAGTAGCTTTAGAAATCCCAATCTATCTTGAGGTAGATTTACTTGCATATATCATATTAATAAGAAAGCACATTGCTATACAAACACCTGTAGGAAATCAATCTACTTCTCAATGCCACATAGCTCATAAAGTTTCTGAGTAGATAACTTATCAAGCTTTTATCCCGTTTTAAGCCAAAGACATTTGATGTCTACACCAACCAATCTCATCCATTCTAATAAATAATCAAGCAACTAGAGCTGTTCTTTTGTTTTTAGTTGTTCTTGATGTATTAGTTATTGAACAGCTTGAGTGCTACTCAAAATGTCAAAGTCTGAAATTCCAAATTTTTAAAGAAGCATGATTGTTTTGCGGGCATGCATAAACATACAAACAAAGAAATATGGAAAAGAAGGATAAAAGTATGAAAACATTTCCATTAACCCTTCACCATTAGATAAGAAACTATCATTAAGAAGTTCCTGTAGCAATGCATCCTAAAAGAAGCAAAAGAAGCAATGAAATATCAACATGCACAGACAACCAAAACACCCCTCAAACATTAATATATACTCTGGAAAACATCATACTTGTGCCTCACAACGTGCTACTGAGGTCACGCGATCATTATATCCTTCAATACTTGGCGGTGGAAGCCAAAAATGCCTCCGCGCATAAAGCTGCAGATTACAGGTATCATTACAAGTAAGATAAGCACAAATATAGAACAAAGCTTTAAGATTAAAACTATGTCATCCTATACAATGACAGCAGAGTTTAAAAAAAAATAGAAACATGTTCATACGTTTTTCCAAGTAACTAAGAATGAATAGTATCAATGAAAATCTATAAAAACAACCTCATAAATCAATCACCAATATAAGCTAATGTTGCCGCATTTAAAACTGATCGAGGCTTCTCCACTTTTGGTGCTGTTGGTAACCATCTCTCATATCCCAAATAAGAATCATCCAAATCTACCTTTACGGGCGCTACTTCTACAATTATCGTTAAAAAAAATTTTACAATAACTCAACATTTTCTACATACTACTGTAAGATTTGGAGTTAAAAAAAATTATACTACAGAATTATTGAGCAATGAGAGTAGGAGTTGAGGGAGTAGGGCATTACCTTGAATGGGACGCTTGAGGATATCGAAAACCGATGGGTCGGTGGTGACGGGCGGTGAGGGTTTAAGGTTAAGGTTAGGGTTAGGGTTGGGTTTCAGCTTTCGTGGAGCGTTGGGGTCGAAAGAGAGTCTCTGTTGGGTGTCCCATAAAGCTCTAACCGCCATTGGCAATGCCGTTGGAGATGGCGTCCAGACTAGAATTGCCATTTCGCTACCGTAATTTTGGAAGAGTGAGCTAGCGAGGGATTGGGATTTTGGTTAGGTTTTAAGAGAAGGGCTTAAAACGGCTTGATGGGCTTGAGCCCAAACACGTTTCACCCATTTGTTTGTTTTTATTTTTTCTTTTTATGGATTTGATAAAGAAATTAGAAATATCTGGTCAAAAACTTGACTCTCAGTCTCACGTGTAAATAGAACATTTTTGGATTTTTGGCTGTATAATTAGGGCTAATTTTTTTTTCCCCAAAATATAAATCGTAGTTTTTAAAAGTATCAATTTGAATATAGAAATTTTAATTTAAAATCTCGAATGCTGTAGTTGGATTAGCCGATGCATTTTATTAGTGCTATTTTTGCATTTATAAAAATGAAATAAGAGAATTCATAATGTAATTCAGTTAATTTTAAAAATAATATTCAATAAATTTAAGATTTAATTTCTATAATCTATTTTTAATTTTTTATTTTCAAATTGTAATCTTATTAAAAAAATGTAAAAAAATGTTAATTAGCCCCTTTTTTTTAAATTGTTGTTACTTAAAAATGTGTATTTGCTATGCTATAGTCGAGGATACATACATCTCCAAAGAGACATGCCAATGATTAGAATTTAAAATATTTTTATTAAAATTCTCAAATTTAAATTTTATAATGGACCAAATCATATTTTATAAATAAAAGAATTAGTACATAAATATAACATGTATTTAAATTCAAGTTTTAGTTTAATTAATTTAAATAATTATTTTTTAAAAAATAATAAATTTAGTGCTCAAATTTTAACATTTATAATTTATTTTTTTATTTTCAAATTACGATCTCTTTAATATTAAAAATAATATTATATGTACTTAAAAAAAATTACATTATATGAAGCATAATACAAATATATAATAATGTGTGTTAGATATTCATAATGGGACAACAACAATCTCTTTAGGTAATCACCTTGGAATTTAATTATATTAAATTATGATCGATCATATAAAAACTTACTATTATGTTTAAATAATATATTGTTTAGATTATTATTTACTTGATATAGAAAATTCATAAGATAAAATATAAATATTGTTAAAATGCATATAAATTATATTTTTAAATGTATTTTTACCATGTAATTTATAAATAATTAATTTCTATATATTTTGTTATCTTAATTAATAAATATAAAATTATGGCAAAAAAAATTACATATACATACGTACATATATATGTATATAAGTACAACAGCTTACAGTAGTAGGGTAAAAGGCGTTGACAGTTTAGCAAACATTTATCCAGATTTCATTTTCTTACGTGTAGGTTTAGCATAGAGCAAGAAGTACAACACGGTTGTTCACGATATTGATTCTAAAAAAAAGTAAAAACTCTGTCGAATAAAAACCCTAGACCATTAATTAGACAAAGACAAAGACAAAATAAAAAACACAAATACTAATTTCTTTTTGGTTACATTAATATTTACTAACCTTTGATAACCTCGCCGCAGTAGCACAGAAAATGAGACGATATGATAGCCGCTCCGGCGATCCTACCTCCTACCGTGACCGTAGAAGGTAACTACTGAAATTTTTGCATTACCCAAAAATTTTAACGTAATTTTCATTTTTATATGTTTTTGTTCATTTAGTATTCTGGGTATTTTTTTTGTTTTTTGTTTTCTATATAGATTAACTCATTCAAGTCATTAATCTTTTTTGTTCCAAAATTTGTGACTTAGAACTAGTTAATTCTTGTTTATTTTTAGATTTAGCTGTGTTTTTTCATCTGGATTTGCGTTTCATTAGTTTAATTTGGTTTAAAACTGAAGACTGATAAATGATAAATTTTGATTGAATTTGTTTCTGTTAAATATTTTAATGAATTTTATGTTGTTTTAGCTACCCATTGCTCTAAAATGACTGAATTTAAGTTCAAACTTAGTGGCATTTCAGTAATTTTAACACAACGGGCACTGGGCCATTGGCAACATCTACTATCTAAGTTTATAGTACGATGAAGTTTCTGTCCTCCTATCTAATTTTAGTATTTTCCTGTTTCTGTTTATTTAAATCTATATGTTGGTGATAGTGACTCAGGGTTTGGTAGGCCTTCAACATATGGCGGTTCAGTACGGTCCTCATTGAGCAAAAGGGATTATGATGGTGCTGAACCGCCTAGGAAGTTGGATTTGGATGGGTTGACTCCTTTTGAGAAGAATTTTTATGTTGAGTCACCGTCTGTGGCGGCAATGTCGGAGATGGAGGTGGAGGAGTATCGGCAACGAAGGGAAATTACGGTTGAAGGTCGCGATGTTCCAAAGCCTGTGAAGAGTTTCCGTGATGTGGGATTTCCTGGTAATTTTTGTTGGTTCTTTTAATAAGTCATTTTTTTCATTTAAATATCTATTTTTTTTTCCTTTTCTTTTTTTCTTTGTCAAGCTTTTTGTTTGTGTGTCTACTGAAAGTGAAGCTGCAGGGATTGTTGTATTTATACTTATTGCTTTTAAGGATGTGATCTTTACTTCTTTTCTAGTGCATTAGATGACAGAGGCTGTTAACTGGTCATCACTCTGGACTCTGAGATTCAATTGATACATATTTGATGATTTTTCACATTATTGCAATTAAAGATATATGTGTAATTTTCTCTAAACTCAAATACTGTAATGATTTTTTTCTATTGAATAATTAAAATTAGTTGTTTCAGTATCAAATATGATCATTAGAGAGGCCAAGAATTTATTAGTTGTAAGATTGAAGAAAACATGTTCTGTTTACTTAAATCCATTTTATATAAAATTTTAATTTTAAAGCTTTAAAAGTGAAGGGCACTTCAAAAACCAGAAAATCTGTAGAGCTTTTTTTTTTTTTTTTATGGAGGATTTAGGATGTATTTAGTTTCTACAAAGACAATGTATTATTCACATGTTAGTATTATAAATGTCACGTGTTATTCATGTGTTATCAAGGACAATACATTAAAGGCCTTTATTAGGTAATCTTATATTCATGTGAACCAAACACAAAAATCTTACATTCTCTAAGTCAACAAAACCCAAGAATCACACATTCCCCTTCAATATTACTTTCCCCCTAAATCACTTTCCCTCCCAGAATCTAAGAATCCGCGAACCAAATGCCCCCTAAATGATATGTCTTTTTGAGTGACTAGAATACCAGGTGTATCATCTTACAACCTTAACATTGACCTAGTTTCTTTGAAAGGTGAATGTAACTGATGACTGCTGTTTAATGCTTAAACCTTTTTGTCATTTACCTAGCTCCCTTTTTGGGTTCTTTCTGTTTGCTTAGCTACCTTTTAGTAATTGGCAACAAGACAACAAGCTTAGTATTTCTTTCTTACTTGAAGAGTCTCGAATATGCATTTGCTACCAGAATAACATCTACATGATTCATGACTGGATTAGACAGTTACAGTAGTGACAATTGTTTTTGAGTCATAGCTTCTAGCCTTGTTCGTGCATGAACACTTTTATAAATGATGCCTGATTAGAATAAGTGCCAACAAGCACCTTAATAAAATTTTTTTTTTTTTTTGGAGGTTAGTAGAAGATTTTGATGCCATCTTATTTGTTGCTAGTAGTTACTAAATGCTTACAAGGAAGTATCCATCTGTTGCCATTATGGATGTACTGTTTTTGGGCTGTGAATTAGACTCATCTCAAACCTTTGTTTTCCTTTATCTTTGCTGATATTCTCTTGTTGCATCTAGATGTTAAATCATTGGTGGTTTTAGTGCTTCCATGTTATGAATTGTTAATGGGTTTTGCTAAAGAGTGCTCTTAGGGTACTCTTTAAGGTTGGTTAACTTACTATTTATAGTAATATCTTTGTATTAAATGCAGTAGTTGAGGATTAATGTGATAGTTTCAATGCATTGGAAAAGATACTTTATTAATATGGTAACCTTAAAGAGTGACCTTAGTGCACTTTTTAGCAAAATCCATTATTAATGAGTCTAGAGAGATTTAATGATGTGTAATATATTTTGCATATACACTTAATATCATAGTAAAAAGATTATCATTTTGATGGTTAAGGAAGTTGTTAATTTCAAAGCATTTTTGGTATTTTTTAGTTATATAGAATTTCACTTCAGTATTTGAAAATTATTTTATTTGTAAGTGTCTGGGGTATTTCTTATCTCTTTATAGATTCTTCTATTGTGATAATTGATGTTCTTTTCTTGACTCCAGACTATGTTCTGCAAGAAATCACAAAAGCTGGCTTTGTTGAACCAACGGCCATACAAGCTCAAGGCTGGCCAATGGCTTTGAAGGGTCGTGATCTCATTGGTATTGCTGAAACTGGATCAGGGAAGACTCTTGCCTATTTATTGCCTGCAATTGTCCATGTCAACGCACAGCCAATTTTAGGTAGAAAGTTAACTCGTAATTATGATTTACTTTCCTCACGATGTTTTTAATACTTGGAGGGAATAAGTCTTGGTCTTTTGTATATACTTTCAGCTCCTGGAGATGGCCCAATTGTATTAGTGTTAGCTCCGACACGTGAACTTGCGGTTCAAATACAACAAGAAGCTGCCAAGTTTGGTGCTTCATCAAGGATCAAGAATACATGCATATATGGTGGGGTTCCAAAGGGACCTCAAGTGCGTGATCTCCAAAAAGGTATATGGTAATATGCTTGGGTCGACTGTTCTACTGTATTTTGTTGTTCCTTAACTTCCTTAACTGCTTGTAGTCTCTTATACATGGTCTTTCAGTTTAAGATGCTTTCTTGACATGTTTATTAGTAGTTTAAATAATCAGTTATCTTTGGTTTGTAATTGCTTACACTTGTTGATAATGAAATTGTTAATATTGTTCGTTGGAACAGGTGTTGAGATTGTTATTGCTACACCGGGGAGATTAATAGATATGTTGGAGTCACATCACACAAATTTGCGAAGAGTTACTTATTTAGTCTTGGATGAGGCAGATCGAATGTTAGATATGGGATTTGAGCCTCAGATACGAAAAATTGTTTCTCAGGTCTCTGTTCTCACCTTTTTCTTTCATTTTGCTCTCTCTCTCTCTCTCTCTACCCATGTCCTTTAAAATAACAATTTCTTAACTTGATTTGGGGAAAAGTATGTCATGAATCATCTTTTTATGTACGAGGATAGTTCATTGTGAGTGTAATGGTTTCTCTTCTCACCTCGCTTCTCTATCTTCCTCATTAACCTTTTTTATGCTACTCAAGTATACTTCACAAAATGAGATCTCAGACCTTGCTAGTTATACTTGTTGCTTAAATTATCCAATTGAAGTAGTGGAATTTAACTCTGTAGGATGATAAGAGTGTTGATTTCAGATGTCCAAGGGAATGATTTCAGAGTTTATGAAAGAATTAGATTGTTTTCCCTGGTTTATAATACAGTGCAGCCTTGCATCTGCCAGAAGAAAAATGATTTAAAAGGACAAAATGAGAGGAATATATTTAGTCTCTAACATTTCCCAGAATATAGCTAAGAATATGTGCATGTGTAGAATCCCTATTTTTTCATATAAGCACTGAAATGATTTGGCAGTCTCACCTTCTACCTTAGCCCCTCTTTCTCTGAGTGGTACTTGTGTTGTACTTTATGCAGATCCGTCCTGATCGTCAAACTTTGTATTGGAGTGCGACTTGGCCAAAGGAGGTTGAACAATTGGCAAGGCAATTTCTTTACAACCCATACAAAGTAAGATGCCTCATAATTTTGATAATATTTACTCAGTGGCTTCTTCTGTGAGGAGATGTTATCTATCACTATTAGTTTTATAGTTGACTTTTTATTTAATGCTGATGTGATTTCCATGTATTATCTTGTTTACTTTCTCTATGTTATTTTATAACTCGAGGATTTCTAGTCTTTCCTAATATAATTCATGGCTTCTAAAATGTGGTAATCTGATTTATGTTATAATTACTTTTAAGGGTCTTTTGATACTCACTTTGTTGTTTTTGATGCTTTGTTATGTAATTAAGTTTTTGTCTCTTTGGTCTTTGTGCAGGTGGTAATTGGATCTGCAGATTTAAAAGCTAACCATGCAATACGCCAACATGTTGACATTGTTTCAGAGAGTCAGAAATATAACAAGTAAACATCAGTTTACTTTGTTCTTATGGTTTTTAATTCTTTTACCATAACATATAGTATTGGGATGTATTGAGTCTGTTTATACTTTATTGATCTGTCTTGATATTCCAGATTGGTGAAGCTGCTGGAGGATATTATGGATGGTAGCCGAATTTTGATTTTCATGGATACCAAGAAAGGTTGTGACCAGATCACTAGGCAACTTCGCATGGATGGTTGGCCTGCTCTCTCAATTCATGGAGATAAAAGTCAAGCAGAAAGGGATTGGGTCCTCTCAGAGTTTAAAGCTGGCAAGAGCCCTATAATGACTGCAACAGATGTTGCAGCTCGAGGTTTAGGTTTGTATATTTATATTTACATTTTACTGAATACTTTGCTTTTCTCTTTTTGGAACCTTTTTTTACTTGAATCTTGCGTCTGATTTGCTTCCAGCCAGTAATGTTGATAATTTCCTTCTTTTTAGTTGTCTGAAACACAATCTGTTTAAATTGTTGAAGTTCTTAATTATTTCTGCTTAGCTATTACCGATAGGTCTAGTTACCATATCCATGGCTCCTTTTTATGTTAACATATCATTGTTTTAGCCATTCATGTTCATTATTATTCATGCTTTGATAGCTCCGGTTAAATATTCATCCATCCTTTTGTCATATGATGCACGTAAATCATGCATATTCTCTATCCTGGTTTTTAAGGTTTAGCATTTTTCCTTCACATGTAGCTTTAGTGAACGAGGGATAGTCTCCTTAATTAATTAATTTGTGATCATGGTAATGTTTTTGACTTGAATTTTGCAGATTATCCTTAGCTTCCTTATTTATGTTTTTATCCGACATCTGTATTTTAGCATGTAACTCCTTATGACTGGTTAATACGAGTGTTTTGACTTCTTTTACAAAATAGAAAGTCACATGGTAGTTTGGGGTAATCTGGCTCGCCATATGACTTGATTGAAAGAACCACTTGCATGTTTAGAATGACAAATGGGTGCACCTTGCTGCACTTCCGCAAAGGGGACTGTCAACTCTACTGGCCTCATTATCTGGATTACTTATTAACTTTGGTTGGTGGCAGATGTGAAAGATGTGAAATATGTAATCAATTATGACTTCCCGGGATCTCTTGAGGATTATGTCCATCGTATTGGTCGAACAGGAAGGGCTGGGGCAAAAGGAACTGCCTATACTTTCTTTACAGCTGCAAACGCCAGATTTGCGAAAGAACTTATCGCCATTCTTGAGGAAGCTGGACAAAAGGTCAGTCCTGAATTGGCAGCAATGGGACGTGGTGCACCTCCTCCACCATCGGGTTAGTTTACTGTAGTTCTTTTGGAGCGCAGGGACACGCATATATTGGCACCATATGGCAGCAGCAAATTAAATGGAATTGAATGATTTTTAGTTGGTTTTTGTAGGTTTTTCACACCTAGATACTTGATCCATGATGGGCCATTAGAGAACACCACACGTGTTATGTGATTATTGCTCTGTTTCTGTACTTCTAAAGAAGTAATTGTTAACTTACTATGATGTCATTGGCTGGTAATTATATAGGAAATTCCAATGGAGCTGTAGGAGTTAATCGAGCTGATTGAATTGCCTGATGGCCTTGATTTTTATGCATAGATAAATAGACATGTCAAGCACGTTGTGACCAAGTTCTCATGCTTGATACATTCTTGCTCATACTCAATTTGTTTGTCTGATGAACCAGGTCATGGTGGTTTCCGAGACCGAGGTAAGGGTTATGGTGGTGGTCGCCCATGGAGCTGATTAATGAAAAGATCCCACGGGGGAAAAAATATAAGACTGAGGGTACAGTGTAGTATAGACATACTTTGTTTGACTGTCACTATTATATTTCTGTGTTCAACTCTGTTACTTGTAGGACTGGCAGGAAGAACAAGAATAGATGGAAATTTGTAAATTAATTTTGTATTTACTTTATGATAATCCATTTTTCCCCAACTCGTGATGCGGATTCAAATCCTAGCAGCATGCAAAAGAAAATACTCATGCCAACTCCTGTCCGGCAAAGGTACTATAGGTTGAAAACTTCGGTGGTCGGAGAGAAGAAAGGCTTGGAGGTAGGGTGAAGGAGAGGTTTCCGGAGGTTTTTTCTATTTTGTTTTTACCTTTCAAATTGGGGAATTTCGAAGAGAGGGAGATCTTCATGAGCCTGATTTGTTACCTTCTTCTATGTTACCATGTAATGCTTTGATAAAATAAAATAATAAAAAAAATAAAAAAAACAATGTTTATGACCTTAATCTTATAATCAAACTTTATGGCCACTCTCCTGTCCTCGACCATCAATCCAACCAGAGGAAGGGGCTTTTAAGATTCAGGTATGTAGAAATAAATTTGATTTTAAAGAAGAGGAATTGAAATTTATCCCTTTTCTGATAAAAAAATTTGTTTTGAATCTGAAGAAAAGGAATTGAAATCTATCCCTTTTCTTATAAAAAAATAGTCTTCCCTTTTTTTTTTTTTATTTGAGACCACTGTATCACCGGATCAATCATTGTTAATTCTTTGATTATCTTTTTGAAATTGATTAAGGCTCTATATAAAAATTAATTAATATATTCATTTACCTTTTTTTTTATTATGCCAAAGGGTGGTCAGGTGAATTTTTAATGTTAAAATTTTTAATTTTAATAATTACGATTTAAATTTTAATAATCTTTAATATTAAAAAATAAGTATTTTTGAAAAATAAAATTAAGGTGAAAAATAAGAAAAAACTCTTACTAAAATGATCAATGAATGACTTTTTCACTAACATCATGAATATATCTTAACTCAGACTTGGAAATTGAAATATAATAATATAATTAATTCATAAAAAAACTAAAAAAAAAACTCTTATTATTAACCTTAAAATAAAATTTGTGTTCTTTGAAACTAAATAAATAAATGAAAGTAAAACTACAAGCTACTCCTATCCAGCTTAGATTAGTTGCTTAATAATAATAAGTATTTAAAAAAAAAAAAAAAGGTATTTGTTTTCAGACCCTTTGGTAGCTTACGACAAAGGTGACGACGACACGGAGCGGAGATAGATCAAAGACGGTGTTGTCAGAAAAGAAATCTCAGCTAACCATGAGCGAAGGTCCAAAGCTCTACGACAACAAACCCAAAAAAGGTTCAAAACCCCCATTCTCTCTTTTGTTTTTAATAAAAAATTTTAGAATCATTTGATTCCTTTCTGAGTGAAAAAACGACAGCTCAACTGAAACAGTTTCAAGAGCAACAAAAAGGGAAGGATTCCGCTTCAACATCATCAGGTGTAGCAGCATCATATAAAATGGGGTCTCAGACTACTACCAATCCGCCACCACCACCACCACCTCAACCTCCAAAGGAATCGTTTGCGAAGCGTTACAAGTTTCTTTGGCCTCTTCTCTTGGCTGTCAACTTTACCGTTGGAGGTTATTTCCTTTCTTTTGAAATTATTTTATGCTTAGGTATTTAAATGGGTTTCTTTTAATTTGGCTTGAATGTTGATTTTAATGCTTGTTGAAGTTGAATGCATTGCTTGATTCTGTTTTTGATGGAAATAAAGTTTAGGGCTCAAGAGTTTTATATGTTGGAGAATTTTTTCACTTGATGATATTGATTGACTATTATTTAGTTTGGGAGTGATGAATTCCTATACTCTGTTGAATATGAATTCTTTTATTGGCTTCTGTTGTTCATGTGGTGTTTGCTAATTATTGTGTTTGATTGTCGCTCTTCATGCTCAAGAAGAATAGTAAAATTTCAATGAGGGATGGCCACGATGTGCTAATTATCAGCTAATAGCTATTTAATTAGAGGTGATAAAATCCGAAGCATCTGAATTCACGTACGTCTGATACCCAAAAGAAAAGTTGGTGTGGTAGTTTAACAGTAAATAAAAGGTTGCATTACGAGGCAGGTTTTCTTACTGAAATATTAAAAGCATGGTTCATCCCCTGATTAACATTCTTCTTTGTCTCTTTCTAGTAACTTCGGGGAATGCATGCTGTTGTGTGACTTTTTTTTTTTTTTTATATTCAGTTATTTCCTTCTTCGTTTTCTAGCGAACCATAGGCCTTTTGATCATCTGTTGTCTCAAGTGTTTGATAGTAACAATATGCAGTTATGCACTGCAAGACACCTCTAAGTGCTTATGCTGAAAAATTGATCCTGGGCTGAGTTTGCTGAAGTGCAACTTTGAATTTCCATCTTGTTAGTTCATATCCTAAAGAAACTCAGGTTATTTGTCTATTCTGCTCTGATTGGAAGAGTACTCTTGGATTACCATTTAGCACTGATGCATTTTGTTATATTTTAGTACATGTAACCGAATAGAGTAATTTACCACTTCACATGTCTTTGTTGCTTATTAATGATGGATTTTTCTTGACTCTATGTGGTAAAGCAATTCCTGTTTATGTGCTAGATATCTACAATTGCTCATTTTTGTTAACATCTGCATATTCTGCAATCATTCTGATATTGGTTTTCTTTGTTAGTGAAGAGCTTTGACATATGAAACATTTTCCTCAGAAAGTATATTGATAGGAGTCTGTAGAGGAAAATTTTCTGATCTGCTGTTAGTAAAGTCATCCCAAGAGAGTCTGGATAGAAAAATAGTGCTGTCAATCAGGGACCCTTTAGATAGAGACTAATTTATCTTTTACTTGTTTAAGTGATCAATCATACCTTCATACCTTATCATAGAATAGATATTATAGTAACTAAAGGAAAATAATTTCTTTGGGAGTAGAGATGATGAGTTGGCACATTCTAAATCTATGATAATTTTATCCAAGTAGATTATTTTTCAACCATTTAAATATTTAATTAAGCTACAGAGATGGAACATTAGCTTATTTATCTGGTATTCACCCAAAAGAGGAATTTTGGTTATATAAAGAAATATAAATGAGTTATCCCTAAGTTTAGGTTCATTCATAATCCATAGTGTAGTGATTGAGGGAGTTAAACATTTTTAATAAATTTGCTGGAATTGGGACTCATTTTGATGGTTAGTAAAATTTTGCATGCGTTATGGTATTCTCTTAAATGCATAGTTGCAAACTTAAGCAACGAACATGGAGTGATTATCTCCATATTCATCTGGGTTTATAATGATGATGATGAATGAAATTATTTGCAATTTGTTCCCTGTTCACCCACCAACACAATGACTGCTTGAAAGCTCACATCAACATTGAAGTGATAAGTTGCAAATTGTATTAGTGAGTAAACTAAGGGGAGATTACTGCAGAAGTTGCCTGCTATAGTGTTCAGACAGCAATTACTTTTAGATAAAGTTGAACTTGTAGTCTCCAATCAGTGAAAGCATTTCTTTATGTGCTTTTCAGTTTTCTTTCTAGGTTTTTGCTATGATAATTAGCGACGGAGAACATGAAATACATTTAAATGATAGTAAAATAAGCTATTGCTCATTGGTAATAAAGAATGTCTGGATTTTTTTCAGTGTCGCTTTCTGATAATTACCAATAGTTAATGATAATTACCTTTAGATGCAAAAGAACTTGATGTTGGGGATAAGCAATAAATGTTTTCTTTTTTCTATGTATGTTGATTAGTTGAGAAGCATATATTGATTGCATTTTGTTGTCGCTCTGTAATAATACTTTTAAATGATAGTAAAATAAGCTATTGCTCATTGGTAATAAAGGATGTCTGGATTTTTTCAGTTTCGCATTCTGATATTTACTAATGGTTAATGATAATTACCTTTAGATGCGAACAGAACTAGATGTTGTTGATAAGCAATAAACATTTTCTTTTTTCTATATATGTTGGTTAGTTGAGGAGCTCAGCTTGATTGCTTTTGGTTGTTGCTTTGTAATAATATGTTTAAATGATAGTAAAATAAGCTATTGCTCATTGGTAATAAAGGATGTCTGGAATTTTTTCGGGGTCATGTTCTGATAATTACCAATGGTTAATGATAATTACCGGTAGATGTGAACACAACTAGATGTTGTTGATAAGCAATAAACATTTTCTTTTTCCTATATATGTTGGTTAGTTGAGGAGCACATCTTGATTGCTTTTGGTTGTCGCTATTTAATAATACGATTAAATGATAGTAAAATAAGCTATTGCTCATTGGTAATAAAGGATGTCTGGATTTTTTTCAGTGTCATGTTCTGATAATTACCAATAGTTAATGATAATTACCTTTAGATGCAAATTGAACTAGATGTTGTTAATAAGCAATAAACTTTTTCTTTTTTCTATATATGTTGGTTAGTTGAGGAGCATATCTTGATTGCATTTTGTTGTCGCTTTGTAATAATTAACATTAATCGCTTGCTTCTTTTATCGTGGTTGTTCTGGATCTTTTTCGTGTCGTGTTCTAATAATTACCAGTAGTTAATGATAATTATCTTTAGATGTGAACAGAACTAGCTGTTGTTGATAAACTATAAACATTTTTTTTTTCTATATGTTGTTTACATGAGGTCTTGAGGAGCACATTGAGATTGCTTTTTGTTGTTGGGCTGTAATAATTAGCTTTAATCGTTTGCTTCTTTAATCGTGGTATCTGGTTCTATTTCCAGTCCATATATTTATCTTGTCTGACAGAATCATACATTGTATTGTGGTCCACCCCACCAACTTATGACACCTGCTCTTTCCTTCTTCCCTCCACCCCCCTTCCCTGGTCCCAACTCAACTTTTTAATATAAGTTTGCCAAACTTGTGAATGTTGGAGTTTTTAGGTTGGTTCTTGAGAATCTTGACAAGTTAATTCTTCAGAAGCATGATTTGCTACTTGTCTGACAGAAATTTGTATGATTAGTGCAGCTTACCTTTTCACGAGAACAAAGAAAAAGGACACAGGAATGACAGAAGAAGATGTACCAAGAGATGTAGGCTCAACTCCTGTTTCAACTACAACCACGCCCTCCAGATACTGAAAAGCCATTACCTGCACCATCTATCACACAACCTGTGAAGTTGCCTGAACCGATTCCTGAGAGCCAGCAGCGTGAACTTTTTAAGCATATATTGGAAGAGAAAAGGAAAGTCAAACCGAAGGACCCTGAGGAGAAGAAACGCCTTGATGAAGAGAAAGCTATACTCAAACATTTTATTCGTGCAAAATCCATTCCTAAGATATGACTGATTTGTCTAAACTTGAATATTGCCTGTTCTTTCAGAATCTTGTGAGTTTGATTTCTTGAATTTCAAGTCTTCTTTTTCCTTAATACTTTAGTTTTATGAAATCTGGTAGAATTATAACATTTTCACGACGAGTACTTTCCTAATACAATTGTCGCCATGTAAATTTCAGACATTATTGCCTATTCAGCCATTCTTAAATCTGCAATAAATAATTGGAGATTGGATGACTACTAATTTTGAGTCTGCACGTTGAACCCTCAGCTGTTTTGCGCCAGCAGACTTCCACAATTGAATTGATCTTTGAAGCACAGTCATACTGGTCTGTTTGAGTGACAAATTATTAAACTGGATGGCCAGTTCTGGTTAAAATAAACAAGAATATGATTCATCTTCCAATAATCTTGGAAGGAATAATGAACAATACATTACTTGTGAAAGGAGCGGTACAATTCATACACCAACAATATTTCGTGGTGTAAACTTTGGCCTTTCGATGCTTAATCTCTTATAAATTCAGAATTTTGTTCAGTTAGTTCATACAATCAATTTTAAAATATAATAATTATTAAGTATAAATTTCAATTTCAATTCTTGCAATATCTTTTGTTATTTTTAAATTGCGACTTTCGTGTAAAAGGAAAATACTTTTATTTCCTTTCAATTTGCAATATCAAGAACGATGGAATTTACTTAAATTTCATCTTGATATTATCATTTCTAATGATGGGCTAAAATCATTTTCATTTGATGTCTCCATTTTTTTTATATATGGAGAAGAAGAAAGCATATTCTCCAACTTTAAAGTGTAGAGATTCACATGGGCCTAAATGCAACTATGCAAAGCATGCACAATTTTCCAAAAGGATGTGGACACCCCCTTCCCCTAATATGCAAAATTCTGAAAGTTCCCACATCATGCAAATGCAAAGCATAGATGCTACATTCCAAAACCGAACCAACTACAAACATTGTTCTTGCTTTCCCCCAAATATCCCTTCATTAATCACTACATAATATGAATAGAATCTAAGGTTTCTTAATTCTTTAACTTTTCAAAGCATATATATATCAAATTTATCCAATAGATGCTCTAGGATTCTTAAAAGATATAGTAGAATTAAACAAATACAATCCCATAAAAAGAACATTCAAGAGAAAGCCGAATGTTTAGCAAAGCAATTTGATGCAATCATGATATGAAAAATTAAAATAATATATTTTTTTGATATAAAGAAAATTACAATTTAAAGATAAAAAAAAAGATTACAAGTATTAAAATTTGAATTTTATGTACGATAATTACATAAATTAATTAAACTAAATCTCGTATAAAAAAAATACTTATAATTATAAGTTAGGTTGTTTGAACAAATGAGCAAAAGGCAAACCATGGAATGGAGCTGAGGCTTAGGAAATTAATTAGTACATGAGCAATCAAGAAATTGGGGGTCATTGTGATGAATATATTGAATAAAATTTGAACAACAGTCAAAGGAAGAATTTTGAAAGTTAAAAAGGTAGGTTTATAAAAGGGTTTTATTTATTTTCCTCCTTTCTGCATAATGAAATGACATTTTTGCCCTTCTCTAAACCAGGCCGTACGTAAAGTTTGATGCCATTTGAGGCAAATTGTGACCACCCAGTTCCTTTTTGATTGAAAAGCTTTGGCTTGTTTATTTATTAATTAGATTAATTAAGGGAAGGTATAGAGGCAGATCATTGCAATAATTTTAAGTATTCTTGGGATATAAAGAGAGGTAGCCACATGCATGTGGTCTCTCCCTTATAAATTAAAAAAATGAGAAAGGATGGGCAAGAAGAAAGTTGCAAAAGAGATTGGCCTGGGATGTTTGTGTAAGTATATATTGTATCAAAGGGTTGGGTGATAATATGATTGGAGAGAGAAGGAGTTAAAAGACAAAACATTCGGCAATTAAAAATTTAATTTAATTGTTTTACATATATATTTTAAAAAATAATATTTAATAAATTTAAAATTCGAATTTTAATATTTACAATTTTTTATAAACCGAGAAGCTGCAATTCTTTTATAATAAAAAGGTTGGGTGATAATTTCATCGGAGATAGAAAGAGTTAAAAGACGAAACCAAAGTTTGAGAGAAAGACGGAAGGAAAAAAAAAAAGAAAAGAAAAACAGGATTGATGATGGAGGGAATGTGGTTGGACTTATTGAATCTCACATGAAAGCACGAGGCCAACCAGCTGCCGCCGCTGCTGCTGCTGCCCTGCAACTGCAAAGGAACTGAGGGGTTGGGTGGGGGTGGCAGGGTGGGGGGGGCTCTCATCAAGCCACAGTTCCACGAGATCAATCATGGAATACTTTATGTGGGGACTTCATTCCCCCACTTCTCCATCTTTATTCTATTCTATACTTATCTTAATATAATTTTCGTCCCATATCGTGAACTTGCCTTGAATCATTCTATCTGTTCACGGATTTTTTAGATTAAAAAAAATGTAAATAATCATACACATCAAGAAATTCTTTTAGCAATATCTATTTGTTCTCTTTTCTTTTTACCTTGGGTGACAATTATTTTTGGCTTATGCTACTCATAATTGGAACCAAACTCTACCAATAGGGGCCATGTAAAGGAAAAAAACTATCATTCATGCATGGGATATGTGTTTTCTCAACATATTTTCACGTTTTCCATTTGCTTTTGTTATTATTAAAAAGGAACCTAACACAGAAAGAAGGCACTATGACTTCAATTGAGGATGATTTTTTTTTCTTATAATGACCTTGCTATTTCAAATGAATAATTCAGAGATTTTATTATATTAAATCAAAGTGCTTAAATAACTTACAGTTTTGGAATCAAATCTTCAAAGTTAATGGTATATATCTATCTATATATATATATATATATATATATATATATAGAGAGAGAGAGAGAGAGAGAGAGAGAGAGAGAGAGATATCATCTTCACTAGTATAAAATTAAAAAATTTTACACTTTTTTTAACCATTAATTTTAATAAATTTAAGGGATGAGAGAGAAATGTGAAAAAGAGAAGAAATTGTATAATCTCATCTCTTGGATCTATTAAAATCAATAATTAAAAATAAATATAAATTTTTTGTGTGCAGGTTAATCCTTCCCCAATTATTATGAATTTGTTTTTATACATTACTAGTATAAGTAATTTTTTAATTTCATAAGCAAAATTAAGAAATTATCACTTTTTTTAAAATTTTTTTTATACTTTAAGGATATATATTCTCTTACTAACTTTACTTTTAATTATAAAAACATTAATATTAAAGAATATGATAATTTTTCATATATATATATAAATTTAAAATTTGATTCAATTAATTTATATAATTATATTTAAAAAATTATATTCAATATATATAAAATTTGAATCTCAAACACTTATAATTTTTTCTTTTATTCTCAAACTTCACTTTCTATGCATAAAAATATATAAATATTTATATTTGGACTATCCTAAAATTGTTACCTTCTTTAAATAGGAAACAATCATTCGACCGTACGATTAAAATAATAGTATAGTATCAGTTTTTATGCCTTTCCTGCTTTCCCTTGTACTTCAATTCAATTATATATATATATATATATATATTGCATTAACATTGCTATGCTATGTATAAGACTTAAATTTGATTTATTTTCGTAGATTATATAACGAGAGATAACCTTATGCTCTTCGTTTTTTTAACCTAAACTAGAAATTAATTAAGGCTTTTAAATTAATAACTTTATTTTACTAAGAGAACCTTTTAACTTACATAATTGCCTTGCCCTGTGTTCATTGGCAACATTATGCTTTTTAGCTACTGTAACTAAGCATCAAATATAGGAACCTTTTGTCTAAAAGCAACAAAATTAAGTGCTCTCCAAAAGGATCCAATTACCACCCCCAAGGACCCTCTCAATATATTATATAATGCATTTGCTCTTTGAAATGCAATTTCAATTCGCTTATCTCCATGCATGATTCATCTCCCTGGCTAACTGGATTCAAAGCTCCAATCCTTGATCTCTCCCTTTCTCTCACTCACTCTCTCACTTTCTTTTCTTTTTTTTTTTTAATTTTTCCTTCTTTTTCAATTCGCTTATCTACACGCGTGCAGGTACACATGCATATCATGTTTTCATCAAGACATAAAGGAAAAAAAAAATTTATGTTAATGTTGGTGTGAGAGAGTAGAATCGTTTGGTATGATTAAGGGTATTTGAGAGAAGCAAAGAAAGAGAAAAGGAGAGAGAGCGTGCAGGGCGGAAGGAGGAAAAAATTCATCCATGATGGAGAATATGATCAGTTCATTGTGGATTATTGTGTTGGTGACAGCAATTGTATTTTGCATCATATTTCTCTGTAGCAAAAGCAAAAGCAAGCACAGCAGTCTAAGGTCAACTCCCTCATCGAAAACCTCATGCCAGCTTCCTTTAGGCACTCTCGGATGGCCTTTTGTTGGGGAAACCATTGAGTTCATTTCTTGTGCTTGCTCAGACCGCCCTGAGAGCTTCATGGATAGGCGTCGACGCATGTAAAGTTTTAGCTACTACTCTATGCGTTGATTTCTCAGCGTTTTTTACTTTTCTTTTACCCTATATACTAAAAACACTAGATAAGTTGAGGTAATTTGCTGATAAATGATATATTTTTACTTCAAAAGTACATACTTTGATGAATATATATGTTGCTAAAAAGATTAGGGTTTCTTTTCATTCCATACTTTGATGAATTTCATCTAATTATATGCTTTTGTAGGTATGGCAAAGTGTTCAAGTCACACATATTTGGGACTCCAACTATTGTTTCAACAGATGCAGAAGTGAGTCGATTTGTTCTACAAAGTGATGCAAAGGCTTTCGTGCCGTTTTATCCGAAATCCTTAACTGAGTTGATGGGAAAATCCTCCATTCTGCTAATCAATGGGAGTTTACAAAGGAAAATCCATGGTCTTGTAGGATCCTTCTTCAAGTCTCCACATCTCAAAAATCAGATCACAAGAGACATGCAAAGTTATGTCCAACAATCAATGGATAAATGGAGAGATGATCAGCCCATATTCATACAAGATGAGACCAAAAATGTTAGTGCCTTCAATTTCTCCCTTTCTTCGTCTCTTTGAGTGATCAGTAAGTAAATATTCTTTTTCATGATTGAAGTTTGTTCTCTGTCGCCATTGGTTCCCTTCATAGTCTTTTAGGATAAAATTTTTTTATTAGAGTTCCTATATATCTAGACACATGATAAAACAAAAGACGCCATCTCTCTTAAATCTATATTTGGCTTCTTCTTAATTTCTAAGTTTAAGGGAGTTAATTTCATAAGCAAACACAAGAAAAATAAGAACCCTAGTTTAGTTGCTTTATGTAACTATCTTTAAGAGGTGACATCTAATAAGTCTAGAATTCAAATCTTAACACTTACAACCCTTTCTCTTCTCTCAAAGCTGCTGTCTCATTTACAAAAAAACACAAGGAAAATAAGCAGCAGACACAGATAAAATTCACACACGTGCACACAAACTCTTCTATTTTTCTATTTTTGTTTGTTTGTTTCTTTTTCTATCTAGTGAAAGGAATCATTGAAGTTTGAATTCTATTCTCTGGCTTCTAGTTAAGTTTAAATGTATGGTTTTGCTGGAAAGTGAAAACAACCCAGTTGAGATCATGGGGTTTACAATAATTCTGCATGAATCATTTTGTCAAAGTAATTTGCTTCATAATGATTGTGCTTATGTAGTCCTTTTGAAAAGTTACTAAGAAGATACACTTTTGTGTCTCCAGATTGCCTTTCAAGTACTAGTGAAGGCATTGATTAGTTTGAATCCAGGTGAAGAAATGAAAATTCTCAAGAAACTGTTCCAAGAATTTATCTTAGGCCTTATGTCTTTTCCTGTAAAAGTACCCGGAAGTCAACTTTATCGATCCTTGCAGGCAAGCATGTATATTCAAATTCAATTGCTAGCTCTAGATAAATTTATGGGAGGGGTGTTGAATTTTTTTGTCAATTTCAGGCAAAGAAGGGAATGGTTAAGATTGTACACAAGATTATCCAATCTAAAAGGAATTCAGGCATGATCTCAAGTACTGTTCCAAAAGATGTGGTGGACGTTTTGCTCAAGGATGCTAGTGAACTATTAACAGATGATCTAATAGCAGATAACATGATTGATATGATGATCCCTGGTGAAGATTCAGTGCCTGTTCTAATGACCCTTGCAATCAAATACCTTTCAGATTACCCTGCTGCACTACATCAATTAACGGTATGCAACTTATTTCTTACCATCTAGACACAACTGGCGGGCTTAATTAATATTAGGGTTTTGTCCACACTATATGTACAGTTTCTCCATGAACAAAGCAACTGCCATTTCTAATGGATATTACTGATATGATATGTTTATAATATTCATACTAATAATAACCTAGCTTTTCTGATGAACTCTGAAATTTTTTAGGGGGAAAACATGAAGTTGAAAAGGCTGAAAGCTCAGAATGGAAAGCCTTTGGTTTGGAGTGATTACTTATCATTACCTTTTACACAAAGTGTAAGTGATTCAACCAATATAAAAGATTACATGTATAAATCTGTGACTAAAAGAAATTAAACTAATTTTAATCTATAATTAAGCAGGTTATTACAGAGACTCTGAGGATGGGGAACATCATAATAGGGGTGATGAGAAAGGCCATGAAAAATGTTGAGATAAAAGGGTATCTGATACCCAAAGGATGGTGTGTTTTTGCTTATTTTAGGTCAGTTCATCTTGATGAAAATCACTATGATTGGCCTTATCAGTTCAATCCATGGAGGTGGCAAGTAAGAATTAATGAACCCCAATTTTAATATTGTCTTTTCTCTTGTTATGATCAAATACATGCTGCTTTTAGCTTTAAACTCATAGACATATGGGGACTCGTCATGTACAGAACAAAGACATAAGTAGCAGCTACAACTTCACTCCATTTGGAGGTGGACAAAGGCTGTGTCCTGGACTTGACTTGGCTAGGCTGGAAACTGCCATTTTCCTACATCATTTTGTCACTAATTTCAGGTAACAGACACTCCCAATTGAGCCTTCATATAAATTTTAATTACTTCTTTTAAAATGATTTATTAATATTTTTCAGATCAGATTAATTGTCAAGTTTTTATAAATAAATAAGTAAAACAAATACTATTTTAAGAAAAAAATTTCATTTAATACATTGTTTTTACTAAATTTAAAATAAGATAATACGATAATTATAAAATTTTTTCTAATAATATCATCTTAATATATATAAGTGCCAGATTGCCCATAGGATCTTTTAACATTTTCCATACTTTTTACATTATAATTAGGGAAGTCATCTTTGAAGGCTGTCATGCACACTCAAAACACTTACTATCTCTTCATTTGTACCACATGAGCTAGCAAAGACAACATCATAACAAAAGACACTGAACTTTTCTGTTCTTTTGAGCTCAGTATAGCCTTCAGCAAGGCATTCATTTTCATATATGGTTGTTTCCAACTATATGCATTTTGGTAATATTTTTCACATATGATGACCTTCAAAACCATAATCCATTCACATCTTTTCCAGCTAAAATGTGTGTTTCGAGCATTCCATCAATTCACACTGACAAATTAAATCATATCTAAAGATACCAGACATTTTCAGCTAAAAATCCAAATTCCTTGAATCTATCATGTTAGTTCCCTTGATGGCTTGAACCACAACTTGTCATGACCAAACTGATTTAATTAGAACCATTCAATTTAGGGGTCACTTCTCTTAATTCCTTTTTGAAATTTTCATTTTCAAAATTTGATTGTTTTTCTTTTGTCAAATTCATTGAACACATAACATTATCAATCAAATCAAGCACCTATCATATAGACTTTGCCGACATTATTGATTATATAATGCCTGAATCAAGACTAGCTCATAGATCATAATACACAAACTTTAACTACAGAAAGATGCTAATGCTATAGCCATTCATTTTAGGTTTTAGACCGACAATGAATGCTCTCTGATCTCGAGATCCTTAAAATCCAATATTTTTTTGAAAGTCAAAAGATTATAGTATTAGAAAGAAGAAAGAAATTAATTAAAGGAAAATACAAAATTAGTTTAATAAAACATTAATAAAAATAAGTTATAACATAAATAAAATTACCACATCAATGCATTTCAATAGAAGATTCGAATTAAATCAAACCGTCAACAATATAATTTGACACTTATTTGGAGTATTTTTACTAGCTAGGGGGCTTTGGCTACTTTTTCTTTACCTAGCTAGGAAAAACTATAAATAATGGAACCTATGATCATGGTCTCACCCCCCCCCCCCCCTTCCCTATGTTTTGACTGCTTTTTTTGTGTTCTTGATTTTATGAATTTTAAAACTAATAGTTCTCTGAACTCACATATGCAGATGGGTGGCCAAGGATGACACCATTGTCCACTTTCCAACAGTAAGAATGAAGAAGAGAATGCCGATTTGGGTCAAAAGAAGGGAAGACTCCTGGTAACCTAAACATGCTTTGGCTATGAAAAGTTTAAGCAGAAACTTCCAATACAGTGATATAAAGCAAAACCCAAAGCAAAGTAAAATAAAAAAGGGTTCGGCCACAATGCAAACGTGTGGGGGGAATTGACAAGTTCGACATGTTGTCCTCTTTCATAGCTAGGTTATTTCAGATTTTTAGACAATAGTAGTGGAAGTAAATTTTTTTTAATGAAACCCATAAATTATCCCTTGATTTTGCATTAATTCTCTAGCTATCCCCCTTGTTTTTTCAGCATTAGCAAAAAATATAATAGTAATAATAAAATAAAAGAAGGTTATATAATGAATCTAAGTTTTAATTAAATTGATTCATGTAATTATTTTTAAAAAATAATATTTAATAAATTTAAAATTCAAATTTTAACAACCGTAATTAACAATGTCAATATTATTCATATCTAATAGAAAACTTGACTTTTTACATAAAGATGAGGAAAGATATTATATTGTGAATAGATATGATTTTAAATGTTTATTGGGTATAAGAATGAGGATTGGTTATATAGTATCCATCTTGTACTTGTACTTTATATATATATATTTAGCAAATAGTTTTTTATTAAATAATATAAATTATTATTTTAAATTAATTAAAACTAATATAATTTTATTGAAAAAAATATATATTAATATATATTTATAAAAAATTGTCTAAATATATAAGATAAAAAATAAAAAACTAAAAAAATAAAATTTTTTATTTTTTTAAAAACTATGAGTATGGGGAGTACCAATCATCTCCGTTAAATACATACCCATAAAAATGAAAATGTAGATAAATTTAAAATACTCATTAAGTATGGGTATGTTAATAGATATAATATAAAAATCTGGAGATGAGGATGAAAAATATTCTACTCTCTCCATACCTATCCATTGACATTTCTAATTTTAACTTTTTTTTATTATCGGATTATAGTCTTTTATTTACCAAAGAAAAGAAAGATATATAATTATCAAGCTAAGCTAAGTCTCATATTTTTTTTACCCTTATTCCTTTTTTTTTTTTGTTAAATCAAGTTTATTAAAGCAATAGAAAATTTACAAAGCTAGCAAAAACTAGAAAATAGAGTTCTATTAGCATCTATATAAGCAATAAAAAAAAAAAAAACCCTAATTGAGAACAAAAAAACAAAAAATTTCCATCTAATTGAAAATAAAAAAAAAACAAAAACAAAAGATATATTCTTTTTATTTTATCCAGATTTGAGATTAAAGTTTTTTTTTAAGATATCTTTAAAGAGAATATTAAATTTGATGATCAAAATTCAATTCATCACAATATCGAATATATATATATATATATATATAAAGTTTTTTCAATGCATGCACCTCAAAAACAACCTAAAATGAAAATGTTATTTGAATTTAGGATGGAGTAATGTGTAGAATTTGGCAAATTCCTATTGGTTTTCATCAGAAGAAAATGGACTTACTCAATCCTGCTTTTGTAACTAGCTAGCCAGGATGATCTTTTGTCTAAGGTAATTAATAAAAAAAAAAAGCCAAATTCAACATAAGGAAGACCAGGGTGGGACAAAAAATATATTTCTATTTGATGCGATTTGATTTAGCAGCAAATTTGTTCCATCTCCATTTGGTCAGAACTGAAACATATTAAAGCAATGGCAAAGGATTTGATATGTTTTCTGAAAAATAATTAAAATTAATAAAATTCATTTAGTTGGAAAAAGATATGAAAAATTTATGATTGTAATTATTTGATAATTTAAAATATAATAAGATGATATAATATAAATATGATATAAAAATATAAAAATGATATAATTTAAAATTTTAAAAATAATTATTTATGAATTTAATAAAATTAAAAAATATATTTTTTATTTTTATATTAATACAAATTATGATACATAATTTTTATATAAAATATAATATAAATATATTAATTTTAATATCTTATAAAATATAAATATACGAGTCATTAAATACGGGACATTGTCTTCTGATTATATATGTTTTTGTCTTCACCCATATTTTTTTGAGTTAAGAGAGAATAAGGCCTAGCCTGAATTTCAAACTGGACTTTAATCCTTCATTGTTTTGGACCTCAATGTAGGTCGAATCATCTTCATCATCAAACTAAATCTGATGATGGGCCTACTTTTTTGTTCACGATTCAGACTTCCAACGCCGAAAGAAAACGGAAAAACGAAAACCGACCTGGCCATAAGACGGATCACTAGTTCACTACGACGTCGCTTGTTCCTCGTTTCCGGCAAAAAGGCATCTCTCACCTAGAGCATGTATGATACTTAAAATTGTAAATAATATATTAATACTCATAAATTATTTAGATTTAATCCGAATAAAATTTAAATTTGATTCGTTATTATTAAATTAAGTTTGAATTCGAATAATTCGACTTATCAATCGAGTCGAATTTGAATGTTTTTATATTAAGATTGAGTATCTTACAATTTTAATCGAAATTTTAAATTTTAATTAATAAAATATCTTGAACTCAAATTCGAATTTAAGTACGAATAATTAAATTTTTATCGAATATAAAAATTAAGTTTATTTTTATATATTAATCGAACTTAATTGAACGAATTTAAATAGTTTATTTCTATCTTAAGTGAGATTTAAATTAAAATAATAAAATTCAATTGATTTTTATTTTAAATATCGAATTTAAAATTAAATTCAAACGTAAATTTAATATTATATTAATTTAAACTCGATCAATTATATTATAATTAATGAGATATCCTGTTTAAGGATGAAAAAAAACTAAAAATTAATTTAAAATGATAATATTTGATTTATTTGAATAGAAAATTTTTTTATTTAAATTAAGTTAGAATATAAATTTAAATAAGTTTGGATTGAATTTTAAATTAAAAAAATTAAAATATATTAAATTATATATTTTTATTAATTTTTTATATTTTAAATTTTTATAAAATAAAAATAAAAATATTAAAAATTAAAAAAATATAATTTTAAAAATTAATAAACTAGATTAAACCCATAAAATTTAATTTAGTTTAACTCAATCTTCCAAAACATCGATTCAAATTTAAATTTAAATTTTAAAATTTATAATATTACGTAAATCGATGCCATACAAACTATTGTCACCCGCACTCCTCATGGTTCATTCATCTAAACCCATCTCTTTCCTCTCGATTTTTCTCCCCCAAAAACAAAATATTTTTCTAATATTTCAATCAAGTCCCTTCTCACAAACACTAACTTTTCATTTCTAACCTCATCGCAGGTTTCAATTCTTCTTCTTCTTTTTTGTTATTATTTGATTAACAATAAAAACATAAACTTAGGACTCAGATTTTTCCCAGATGAAGTTTTTCTTTTTCCTTTTTGAATTGTAAGTTTTTGCTTATTTATCTGTTTTGCTTGCAGACCAAACGGTGTAGAAGCAGAGAAAAGAAGTGGGAATTTTTTTTTCTCAATCTGACTGTTAATAGTTAAATAGTGCTTAGTAAGAAGAAAAAAAGTTAACTTTTTTAGATTGGGAATTTAGTTTTTTTTTTTTTTTTGGCTAATATATGTGAATTTATGGTTTTGATCTTCTTCCTTGTGTGTGTGTGTTTGTTTTTTTTTTTTTTTATGTATGTTTATATATTTTGTATTCCAAAATTGGCAAAAGGGAACTTAACATGGCATTGGAAATAGATGATTGAAATTTTCAAGTTGGTTTAAGTGGAACAAGGTTTTCTAGTGTTTCCAAGAGTGGGTATTTGATGAGAAATTGAGGGATTTCAATCTTTTTCTGGAATTGGTAGGGCCCAATCAAGAACAATGGTAGCTTTATTGTTGAATGTCTGGCATAGGAGTCTAGAACATGATGATGATTATGTTTTGTTATGGGAATTTAAGGTTGAATTTATGTTGGCACCTTTAGTGTATGGATTAGGGAATTTAATGGTTCAGAAAAGGTCTGTTAATCCACATTCTTGATTGAAACTTGGGAGAACGATTAAAGTTCTGGATTTTGTTGTTTCTGTTCTTAGTATTCTACATATGATTCGTCTAAGCTTTGCTGAATAGTTTTATGGGAGACTCAGTGGAGCTGCATTCTTTTTCTGTGTATTCGTTATGGAAAGTTTTTTGAATCCAGTTGCCACTTGTTGTGGGGTTAATGTATTATTTTTCCTCTTGATTGTTGACCAGATAAATTTCATTAAGACTCTGGATAAAAGATTCTGTGTGAAAATGCAAATATATACTAATTCTCTCATCGTTACCATATTCATAAAAGCTGATTCTATTCAAATATTCATGAAAGCTGACTATAAAATTATTCAATTGTGTTACTTTTCCCAGAATAATTTAAAATGGCTGGGAGAAACCGCATTCCTCACGAAGCCTTCAATGACCGGCATGGATTCCCTCCTAAAAGACCTTTCTTTCGTGGTCCTCCTCTGCCACGGCCACCTCCTCATCCTGTGTTGTTGGAGGAGGAACTTCAAATGCAGCATGCAGAAATTCGGAGGTTTTTGACTGAAAACTGCAGGCTTGTGGAAGATCGGATGGCTATACAACAAGAGCTTGGTGCTGCGAAGGAGGAAATTCATCGTTTGGATATTTTCCTTGGTGAAATTCGTGCAGAACAAGAACTGCAGTCAAGGGGACTTATTGAGAAAGGCTTGAAACTGGAGGCAGATCTCCGTGAGACTGAGCCATTGAAAAAAGAGGCTGTCCAACTCCGTACAGAAGTTCAGAAACTGAATAATGTTAAGAAGGAGCTAACTGGCCAACTTCAGACTCTCAAGCAAGGTTTTGCCAGGTTGCGAGCTGAAAATCAGCATATACCTATTCTAAGAGCAGAAATTGATGGCCTGCACCAGGAATTGATGCATGCGAGGTATATACCTGAATCCTTTTTCACCCTTCTATCATTTAAATTTTCCAAGCAAACATAAGTGCTTCCTTTCCATTGAGCATTTAACTTGCAGCACCACTCATTATAATATCCATTTATATATTTAAATGCCAAATTCAAAATTTATTTCATAGGACTACTATTGATTATGAAAAGAAGGCAAATATTGAGCTGATGGAACAGAGACAAGCAATGGAGAAGAACATGGTCTCCATGGCATGTGAAGTTGAAAAGCTACGTGCAGAACTTGCCAGTGTGGATGGTAGACTGTGGGCTGCTGGTATGCCTTATCTCTCTTTTATCTATCTGGTTGAAGTTTCTCCTTCAAACTTGTAGTGTAACGTTTGTTGTTTAATGTTCTGGCTTTTCATTAGTTTTCATCCTTTTGACTCAGTCAATTTCTACACCTGTGAGTTTTCTTGATTTCTTTCTTTCCTGTCACCATTCTCATAGGATTTTCTAACATTTTCCTACCAGGCTTAGTTGTATATAATGGAGTTTTCTATGAGAAAAATTCTCAACTATTCATTCAACCTTCACATATTTGTGTGTATGTATCATAGTCCATTTTACCTTGGACTAAACAAATGGACTTGTCTTCTCTCATCTCATAAATGCCCCCCCTCTCTTTTTGATTATGAAGGTTTGAACCTTCACGTGAAAGTATGAAGTTCAAATGGTCAGGTGTCTTTTTTGGACCCCATTCGACCTGCATTGATATTTCCTGGATTTTGCCTTGGTCTTTTGGTCTGTGCTCAATTTAATAATAGTAACTATATTTTGCTCCCTCCCCCCTCTTATCTTTTTCTTGTCTAGAGTTCATAAAATAATGGATTAGTTGACATAATGTATTGACTCTGGAGTATTGGTGTTTTATGTTTCCTCTAATCTCAATGGCTTGATGGATGATGGCTCAAGGTGGACCATATGGGATGGAATTCAACATTTCAGAGGGGACTTTTCCTGCTCTATATGAAGGATATGGGGCTTATCTGGTATTTATGCTAGTCTTCTTGTTTGATTTATTTGTTTGACCATAAAGCTATTACATCAGGATTGTAATTTTTTTCTATTAAAAATTGTTTTTACTTAACAGGGTGTTGCTGACAAGGGTCCTTTTTATGGTCCTCGTCCTGCTTCTTGGGAGAAGCTTCACATGACTCATCGCTAGGAGAGTTACTGCTTGATGTAAGAAAGGCGACATTGTTGCTTCACTTTTGAAGTGCAAAATATTGATCAGCATGGAGTTCAATCATCCATGTGTGCATGCCACGTCAGTAATTTTTATCTTAGTACATTGTTAGTCATCTTAAATTTCTTACATAAGATTCTGTGTTTCTTTCTGTTAATTGGTAGAGGAAATGATATCCCTTTATATATACACGAAATCGTAATATGATAATTTGGGCTTTGGTTGGGTCCAATTCTTCATTGCCAGTTCTTTTTTTTTTCTTTTTTCCTTTTTGGATAAATATTTTAGCCCTTTTTGTGTAATTATAACTAATATTACTTTAGGTATAAATGCTGGCCCCTGACTGAATGGGGTAGTTTTCTTGGGTCTATTTAAAATTTATCGCCTATGAATGAAGCTTTTGGTTGCAACTTACAAGTTAATTTGCATGCTACCATTTTGACCGATTTCACAAAATTCCTGGAATCATTTGTGTGTGATAGTAGATTGTAGAAGGATGCAATGAGGTATGCCTAGCTGCAGAAAGATAATGTAATTTCCAATGGAACACAGACTGTGTTTTAATCTTAGTGTAGATGATTTTATTTAGTAGGCCGTCTTGTGCAACACTCGAATACTATTGTTTTTAGTGGAGGGCATATTTCTCTTGAAAATTGAAAGTTATAACTTTGTGGATATCATTTGAGGTTGATTTGTTAATCTTGATTGCGTGTTATTCTATGTGAGATAAATAGAGTATCATGTATCATGGTAGATTATGGTTCTGAATATGTGCATTTTGAGTATTTAATCTTGGAAGCAGAAGTTGGTGAGAGGATATGGTTCAACTTGCTTTAAAGGGTCACTTTATGGACATTGTTGGGGGTTGATCTGTTAAATTTTGAATGCATGCTATTCCTTCTGAGATGAATTGAGACCTTATGCCTCTGTAGAATCAAGATGTGCAGTTTTGTTATGTAATTGAGGAGATTATAAGTTGCACTTTTACCAGGAATAGGGATCTCTGAGATTGAATTCTTGTCTTTGAAGTGATATGGACATTCTATTGGAGAGTGAGCGTGATCTCATGCTCTAGAAGTAAATTGTTTAGAGCATTCATGAGCTGCCCTCTTGCATGCTTTTGTTAGGTCAAATCTCTTGATGTCTGCTGTTGCAGTATATGAAGTATGATTGCTGCAAAATTTAGTGGTTTTGCTTTTAGGTCACTGATGTTCTCCTTGCCAACAACTCTTAGTGGAGAATCATTGTCTTACTTAAATTTACTGTAAAGTGCCTTCAGTATCCATGTATATGGTTGTGTTTGAAAGCTTGGAGGTGCAAGTGTTGTAGGGAATATTCAAAATGGCATGGTGTCTGAATAGAGACTTGTTTGGATATCTTTTCTTGGAATATTTTTTATATTACTTTTCCCTTTTAGAATATATGACATGGAAAACTAGTGGAGTGTTTTTATTTCCTTATGTTATTATTGTTTGTTGAGGTGCTGAAAAGCAAGAACTTAATTGGTTTTGACTTTTTAATGGATTTTGACTTGAGGTATCTTGGATGGAGAGGGTATTAATCTCGATGTAGTTTGCAGAATTACGTATAATTTCCTCTGATGGTAAAATTTGTAAGAATGCGCTTTCCCAGTTATGAAGTGTGGGTCAATTTAAACATTTGTGCATGCAGTATCACTACTTATCTTGAGTTATAGTTAACATTTTCTTGTAAGTTTATCGGAATTACAAGAAAGTTTAGCTGATAAAAAATGAACTGTAGGGTTCAACTAGTCTTCCTTTATTTTTTAGAGGATTTATGATAGGGTTTGATTACATTCTATAATTGAGGGATTTCTAGTATTAAGCTGATACAGTGGGTGGCATAGATGAGGTAGAATATGTTTTACACAAAGGGTTTAGATTTTGGAATATTAGTGAGTTATTTTATGTGCTTCGCCATAAATGGCCCAATGCCATGTTTATATCGTTTCGGAGCACACATGGCCATTGAATACAAAAATCACAACTCCTTGATTGGATGAAAAATTGTTGGCAATTCATCCTTTAATTAAATCTCATACCCATGGTCTGCAATTTTATACAATGTCCCTGGCATCATCTGCAGTTATGCAGTTTGATCTGGTGCAACTCTACAGCTCTGTTACCATTTTTTGTTCTGCAAAGTTATTAGTGGTCATCATATTCCACCCACCTACATGACTACAAGTGGCTCCATTATGCATTGACATGACAATGAAAATATCTGAAGGATGATGGGCATGCCATGTGGAAGAGGCTGACTACTGATCTTAACTTATGTAGGCAAGTTTTCTGTCTCTGTTATGAGTTCTATGAATCTAAAATTTGATGTTTGCTTTCAAATTGAACTTTCCTGACATCCTGTCTTTGATTTCATTCTCTTAATTTGGCTTTTCCTGCTTTATATAGATAGACTTATCTGCTAATGCTCACATCAAAGCTCATTATTAGTTTTGACTCTTTGGGATTAGTAGTTTATAATTTTGTTTTAATTTTATATGGTTAGGAATATTTTTGCAAAGTTTCAGTGGAATTGAGTTGTTAAATCTAATAGCACTGTCGCTGTGAAGAATTTCTTGAGCTTGTTTCATACTTGTATCCTTGCTAAGTTTCTTAGCATTTGCACATCGCATTGGTTTAGTTAGGTTTCGGGTGATCAATTTATAGTTAAACAAGTGGATATGTATTTGTCACTTGCCAAGGGTTTAGATGAGATAAGGTCTGGCAAACAAAATTTCAAAGAGTTATCATGCTATCAGGCTCTTGTTTGTGCCAGTTTGTGGTGAGAATATTCCATTGGATGTGCCAGAATTAGTAATCTTGGATTAAGAGGGGAAACATCTTATTCTAAGTGCTCAAGGATGAAATAAGATGTTAGGTGTCCTTGGAACATTTGGTTGGATAATTCTAGATTTATGTGATTTACTTGAAAGTACATAACAATTGAGATATTCATGAAAATTTGTGTAGAATTTATATATCGTGTAGAAGGGAAGACAGATGGTGCACTGCTGAGGATGTTTGTTTCTCTTCACTATTTAAGTGGGAAGGAGTTTGTAGAGCAAGAATCTATGAGGTTATCTAAGAATGACTAGAGTGGCTTCTTTAATTAGATAAGATTTCTCTTTCATGGAGCACTTATACAGAGAAAATCTGTTGGAGTGATGAATCATTCGCAGAAGCTAAATTTTGGTTGGCTCCATGAAATTATTTTGATGCTAGGCTGTTAGAGGGAATAAAAAATTTGTGTTGCATTTCTGACTACATATTGCTATATCCCTTTTATGCTTAATGAGATAAGGTCTGATCATTTTGTTTTTTACAACTAGAGCCGTGAATTGGTATGAGAAAGTACTTGTTTTATCCTACATGCGAAGTCTGTGAAAGGTGGAATGGGCTGGATGAAGCAGACTTGAAAAGAAATTCCTGACTATATATAGATCTCATACAACAATAGTTGCCTCATGTTTGGGATTATCTTTCCTGCATCATGCTAGCAATTTGAAGAGAAATAGTTCTATTTGTCTATGTAAATTTGTACTTAAGCATTACAGTTGGATGTACATGATTAAGGACTTCCTATTTGCTTGTTGAGGCTTTCCTTCATGCAATTGAAGGTGTATGAAGAGTCAACTTGTGGCCGGCATCAAATTATTAATTATTGTCATCTTGTTTGTAAGACACTTAAGTGATTGTAGAAGTCAAGGTAGCAGTAGATGTGATCCTTGCAAGTTCTTTTATTCCAGTTAATAATAATTGTAGTTTCCTTTAGATCACTTTGGTTGTTAAATAAAATTGTTGCTTGTTTACTCCTAATCTAAAGAAGATTGTTCCGTGTTTGTACAACAACTTTCCGTACAATGAAAATTGATATTTCAGTTTCAAGATTCCTCCTAATTTTTGTTTTTAATATTCGCAGATGGGAAGCTGGCATGACTCGTGCAAAAGGTAAAGAAAGAAGATTAGGTGTATCTTACGTGAGATTGAGGAAATATGAATGATGTAAAGTTACAAGTGCTTCCAGACAAACTTGGAAGAAAATGAAAAAGAGAACTTTCTGTCTGCGTATCTGTGAGTTCATTGGTATATATGCATTTCTGTCTTAAATGAGATGCATCGAACTTTGTTGTATGATTTTATTTATTTTTGGGGGCTATGCAGAGAGGGTTCAAGTCATTAGGCTGCACAATGACAGCCACCACTTTCTTTTCTGTAGGCAAATGACCTCCATCCCCATTCTATTTTTGGAACTCCTGCAATCTCTAATGATGGCAGGATTTTGTCGCAACTCCTTAGAATGACCAACCAAGGTCGTTGTCATAGCTTGTTTCACAGTCAGCATTGCCATAAATGTTTTACACTCAGAGCCATCTCTGGCTAGATGGAATGTCCAACTAGCCTAGAACATGCTAACATGTCCTAACTTTTTTTTTTTTAATTGGATGTTCATCTGTGGTGATAGTTCTGAAAATTGTTTTTTTTCTAGGTTACAACATTTACTAGCTTCTAAAAAAGCTTTGCTCGCCACTGGTTACTAGCAAGCAACAAGCACAAGATAGTATGCCTGCACTAACTAATTGTACTTTTTTATATTCTGGAATGACTGTTTGTGTGAATGTAGGTTATAGCTATTATGATTTTTTTCCTTTGTTCAAGTGTGTAACAGATATGGTCTCTTGCTCCATGATTAGCAACGGAAGTAGTGAACTGCATTTTGTCGTGCATAATCCTTCTGTCAAATTCCGATGCTACAGCCTGGTTGGTTGATTTTATTTAGATCCTCTAATTCTTGCTACTTTGATTACTGAAGCTGATGTAATGCTGTAACACTTTAGACCGTGTTCCCCTTAGCTCTCTGTAATATCGAGAGATGCTCTTGCAAACAATAGCTATGAATCTTGCTTGTTATGGGATTTTTTTTATTTTCTTTCTTTTCCCTTAATCCCTATATTTATAGTTTTGCTTTCCTAGCTTGTTTATTCAGTGTTTTAGTGGGAAAAAAAAACTGATTTATTCCCCTTTTTGAACTTTTGATGTCTTGGTTAGGGGTTCAAATAAATAATAAAAAAGGATTTTAATAAAATAGAATATTGAAATGAAATTGAAGGTTTGGAGTAAAAACGTTATGGCATGAAGAAACCTAGCAAAGACCCTGAGAATTTGTTTTCATCCATGTTTAGTGACAAAACCATCCGGTTTGAAATCATCGCAACAAATTGAGGTACTTCTCCCCGCTCGATAAATCCCTTCTGTCTCAAATTATGCAACCTAAATGAGACTGCATGAAACCCAGGGGGAGAGACAGGGAAATGTTGTTTAACATGTCTCAAACCTGATTGTACGAACAAGACAACTGAAAATCAGGTGCTTGCTCCATGTACACGATTCCTTCATTGGTATAAATTTGCCACATTTGGTCACCTCGTGAACGCATCTTGTGTACACATTCCACATTCTGTGGCTCCTGGAATATGTCAATAGCTAGTCTAGTGCGCCTGTACCATTGCGACGTTCGATAGGTATGGATATTCTGATGGCAGCCGGAAGCATCCTATTTGCGATTTCTGTGTCTCGTCGCCCGTCCATGGATCTTTGGTTTACGTTGGCAGATCCTATTAGAGTGTACAAATCATCTGCTGAAAGTAGCAGCAATAAACGTGGTTGAAAATGCCTGAAGCAAAGGGCTGGCGTATGGGATTTTGTATGGAGCTGGTAGGCAGCAAGAAACAAGGATCACATTGCTTAGTCCATCTTTGCTCAAAATTAGCAAGCACATCCCAAGCAGCTTCCCCTGTTATACAGGCATGAGCATCATGCCATGGTTCCCTTTGTCCTCCTTTGTGGAGCCTGGCTCCAGATAATATTTGTTTGATAGAAATCAAAACAATGAGATTCCGTATTACGTGTATGAAACAAGGAATGTTGTTTTGTATCATACCGACCATCACAAAAAGATCTGATCCACCAACAAAGCTCATGATTTCTCTATCGTTTACAGAAGAAATATATACTTTACTGTCAACAGTTCTAGTCTTACAATGGTGAGCAAAGAGTGTTGGAAACTTTTGGTGCAATCTTGGGGATAGCTTGGATTAAAGTCGGTCATAATAAGATTTTTTTTTTCTTTTTACATGATAGGCGGCAGCATGAAAATAAATTAAAAAAATAGATTGAAAGTATTAAAATTTAAAATTTAAATTTGTTAAATATTAATAGTTGTATAAATTAATTAAATTAATTTTTTTATATGATAAATTATAATACCAAAATAAATTAGAGAATAAATTTTAAATATTGAGATTCGAATTCTAATTTTATTAAATACTAATAATTACATAAATCAATTAAAAAAATTTAAGGTTTAGAGATAATAAAAACCATAGTTTAAAATTAGGAAATAGATTACAAATGTTAAGTTTTAAATTTTAAATCTTTTGGATGTCAATTAATTAAACTAAGTTTCGGATTTGAATATGAAAAAAATAACATTACAAGAATATAAAAAAAAATTACAAAAATAAAGATTCGAACTTCAAATTTACTAAATATTAATAACTGCATCAATCAATTAAATTAAAATTTAGATAAAAAAATAATAAAAACAATAATTTAAAAACAAAAATATGAATTACAAATATTAAGATTTCGAATATTAAATTTACTAAATTACCAATAATTGTATATATCACTTTTTAACTAAATTTGGACATCGAAAATAATAAGATTTGATTAGAACAAATCAAATTAATAAAACTCAGCAGACAAAAAATCGTTCTTTTTGAAGAAACTCAATCGGTCTTAAAACATTTAACTTCGTCTACATTATTAGCTTGGACAATGGCAAAAGTCACCAAAATGATTACCAATTACCATTGATTTGATATTCAAAAGCAAAACCGCTAAATTACAAACACAAAATAACACTCTCAAACAAACTTACATACACAAAAAATTTTTATGCTGACTAATACTTTCGCAATTACGTGGCAATATTTGATTAGCTCGGCCTGTGAACATGAGTCCATGTGTCAGGCACTGTGATTCCGGATTTAGCAAAGACACCCGCAAAGGTTGTATGAAGAGAAAAACGATTGTACCACCTTCGCTAGAGCTACCAACATACCACGCGGGCGACGTGGCTGGCTTCGTCGGTAACTTGCCGTCGCTTCATCAATGCCGTCCCTACAACGTTTTAGTGCAGTCTTATCTGCAAAAGGCTCCAATTTATCTCTCTTTGAAGGCTTGGTTGGACGTGTTTAGAGCGAGTATAATTTGTTTTCAACTTGTCTCGTTGATCGAAATTGATTAAATTTGATATTTAAATTTATTTAGTTTTGGTTATAATTAATTTAATAAAATAATTTAAATGATAAATTTAATTGATTTTTTATTTTTAAAATAATAATTAAATCGATAAAATTAATTAATTTTTTAAAAGATTTATATATATAATATATAATATAAAATATTATATTTATATTTTTAAAAATAATGAATATGGCATTAATGATGAAATTATAAAGTGAGTTTTATTGGGTGAATTATTATAAAATTATTGTTCAAAATTGATGATAAAAGAATGGTGAAAAATTTTATTCTTTGTAGAATTTTTGTCGACTTGGTTATTTTTAATTGTTAAAAATAGGTCAATTAATTTTGATTATTCTTTAAGAGATCAATTAAGTTGATTTTTTATTTTTCAAAATTGAACCGATTAATTATTCATCCCTAAATGTGTCAAAAATTTTATTATCTTAATAAATAAAATAAAATAATATTGCTGCTAAGAAATTATACCCAATTTTAATTAATATTCAAAACAAATGTAAATGTTAAGATGTAGCTCAAGTCCATCGTATCCCATCTTGACCGTTGGAGAAATTTTAGTACGCCACAGGTGGCTATGGTTGTTTTGTAGTGAAACATGACAAGCATTAATTCAAAGTTTTCCTCATTTTCATCTTTATTTTCCTGTCCATCCTAAAAAAATAATAGTACTCTTAATTATATATATTCAATATTTATCATATCACTCACTTAGTGCATTTACTGTTTCAATCATGTTTTTTGTACGTTGCATATTGCAATTGATTGAAATTTCAGTTATTATGACTCACAAAAATTAATTTAATTGGTAAAAAAGAATTTTTTTATCTGTTAACTAGAATTTTATATTTTGAAAGCAAAATTTTGAATAAAATTAGATTATTATTCAACCACTATTTCGCCAAACTTAATTTCAACCTTTTTCTCTAAAAAAAAAAAAAAAATTCAACCTTACTCTTTATGATAATTTGGAAATTTCACATAAAGATTATATGACAAAGGTATCCATATCAAGTCATGAATAAGATAAAAAGAAAAAGACAATAGGTTGAATTGTTATGTGAATTTTTATAAAAAAATTTAATACTTTGTTAACATATTATATGATTATTAATATAATTAATCTATATATTTGATATAGAAAAATTAAAGAAAAATCAATCAAATATATAAATTAATTATATTAATAATCATATAATATGTTAACAAAATATTAAACTTTTTATAAAAAAAATTAAACTTTTAATTTCAATACCAAAATTCAAACTCAGCTCAAACAATAATAAAAAAAATTCTACACCAATTAAGCAGCATGAAATATACTAAAGCAAAACACTTCAGAATCACATTATAAAGCCATCCACTGGCCTTTATCAATACTTTATTCCTTAACCCTCCCTTCCCTTTCCTTTCTAATTTCCTTCGAGATATTCTCGATCTTCTTGCTCTTCCCTTTCTTCTTCTTCCCCAAAACAGAGCCTCTGATCTCTTAAAAAAAAAAAAATGACAAACTACGGCACAATCCCTACTTCATCATCGCCAGGACCCTCGGCGAATCTCGAATACCTATCTCGAGCCAAAGAACGTATCAAAGAAGGGCTTGCAGCTCGACGTCCATGGAAACTCATGTTCAACATCCGCTCTGTCAACTTCCCTGGAAACCTCTCGGAAGCTATTTCCAGGGTTAGAACTAACTTAGCTTACTTCCGCATGAACTACACCATAATCGTGCTTTTTATCCTTTTCCTTAGCCTTCTATGGCACCCAATCTCCCTCATAGTCTTCGTAGTCATGATGGCCGCTTGGTTGTTCTTGTACTTCCTACGCGATGAACCCTTGGTTTTTTTCAACCGTACGATCAACGATCGTGTGGTGCTGATCGTGCTGGGGGTTTTGACCATTGTGTTCCTGCTGTTGACTCACGCCACGCTTAATATTTTGGTGTCCCTTTTGATTGGTGCGGCTGTCGTTTTGGTTCACGCTTCGTTGAGGAAGACTGATGATTTATACGATGAAGAATCTGCTGCCTTGATGACTGAACCTTCATCTTCTTCATAGTTCTGGGTTTCTTTTTCTTTTTCTTTTCGTTCATTTTTTGTGGGGTTTAAACTTTAAATTGAGTTATTATTGGTATTATAGTATGATCTCAAATTTTTTTGTTTCTAAGTGCTCTTTAATTTAACATTGTTTAAGTGTCAAAAAATGCTTTTTTGGATCCGTTGAGTCATAATTGAATGGAAGTTTGCACTTGGTAGTTTTGAATGGTTGATGAAAAGTGTTGCTCAGATCATCTGATCTTTTTCCGACAAATTGTCTCTTTTTTTTCTTCTTTGGTAATTGAGAATTTTGTTACTTTCATTACCTGCTAGGCTGCTATAAAAGCTAGCCATTGTTTTCAGTGAACAGTTTATGATATTTGGCTGATCAGTAAACTGTATATTGAAACAGTATGGTTATGGTTCTTGAGGGTTGATTTGAATTTTTACTTTTTTTTTGGGGTTATACTTTGGTTTTTTCACTTTCAGTTTCATTCGGATTTCTATTTTGGCTTGAATGGTCTTTTTTAAGGAGTTAATTTTGAGGAAATGAATTTAGGCAGAGTATTGTACACGGTGTTGTGGCCATGGTTTTACTAAACCAAGATTCAATATTAAATAATTGAAGAGGAAAAAGGGTTCAATTTCATTGACATTGCTTTATAGCGAAAGGTAAAGGCACATGGATATGGTGCAGTAGTCACTATTCAAGAGGGAGGGACACTTCTTGTAAAGCAAGATTGAAGGCTTTTGGCATGTGATTTAAAGCCATATATAAGAGGCAAATCTTCATTTGTCAACAAATAGTTTGTCATTAAAAGTTTGTGAAGATCCATGATTTGAAAAACCCAAATTTGTTTTTTAACCAATGTTTGAAAGATCCCCAATACATAAGGAAACGAGGTTAGATTCACAAACAAGAGAATCCTATGGCTAGCAACAAGCTGGCCACCATGATCTTTGCACCATATTGGTAAGGGCAATAATGGTTAGGTTTGGCAATAGATCGGGTTGGGATGTATTTTTGTTCGTTTCGAATTCGATTCAATTTTATAATCATAAAACTCGAATTTGATCCGACTTAAAATTTTTTTTATTTTTTTCATATCCGAACATGATTTGATTTGACTTAAAATTAATAAAATATTATTTTTTAAATATAAATAAATATAATTAAATGATTAATTAAAAAATAATTTTTATATAATATTGGATCGAGTCGGATTTGTTTAAAATTCGAATTCGACCCAATCCCAAAATTTTGAAAAATAATATTCAATTCGATCTGAAATCTAAATTTTATTTTTAAAAATTAATTTTATAAAATCGAAATTGAAACTCGTTAAAAACGAATTGTACTGTCAACCCTAATCATGGTGACCTTGTGGGTCTCGTGTGAGAACCACACTTCCAGCTTTTTGGGATGCCTTTTCTTTGTTGAGGCCCCGGCGATAAGAACTGAGAAGCCATACTGAAATGGACTTGATATCTGCACATAGGACTCGGATATCAATTATAAGTGCAAAGGTTATAATTGGTACAAAGAAGGCAAAAAAATTTGAAGAAAAAAATTATAAGGTTTGATATTTAATGTTATTTTTAAGAATAATTATATAAATCAATAAAATTAAATTACAAATTCATTCCAAATAGAATTTTAATATGGAACTATTGTACCAAAAAATCATAGAACTGGAAGAAAAAGGAAAGTGAACTGTAGAGAAATATCGTTTGCCCTTGTCCATATGTATATATGGCTTCACTATCCAAGCAGGATGAGACACTTTGTCTTCAAACTCTATCTTTAAAAAAATAATCTTATCAATTATTAATTATTTGTGACAAAAAAAATAAAGGTTTATTTTATTAAATATTTAACATAAAAATCAATTAATAATAAGTGAAAAGATTTACTATTTTAACAAGTTCCATTATGTATAGACAAGAATTAAAAAAAAAAAATTTATTATGTGACAAATTTAAAAGAGATGTCGAAACAACAAAATAAAAATTGAACTCTTATATCATGTTAACCATTCAACCTAAAATCAATTAACAATAAGTAAAAAAATTTAATTTGAATATAAAATTATAAAAAATACAATACTTAACGGATATGAGATAATAATTTTTAACATATTTCATATTTGACAAATAGTATATTAAACTTATACAATGTCTACATATAATAAAATGACCTAAATAACATTTATATTAAAAATTCTGGAAATTCTTATTATTAAACTCCGACATAAACCTTAATTACTAAAATTAAGTATATTGAAATTTTTTTTAAATGACTAAAAAATGTACACCTATTGATGAAATGAATTGAATATAAGCTTTTGACATGAAACACCAAACGAATGAAATAAAGCATAGAGACCAATTTATTACAAAGAATTTAATTAAATATTTTCATTCTTCAAGTCATTTTTTTTTTACATTTTAAATCATAAAGAATGTCAAATAAAAAATATGAGAAATTAAGAGTTCATATTTGATAACTTATTAATATAATTTTTTAATTTTACAATTGAAATTAAAAAAATTAATACTATAACACCTTCATTTGTTTCGAAAATTTTTTCGAAATAAAAAACGGACTTTGGTTGTAAATTGAACCCATTTAGTAAACTTTGAGCCCAATGAAAGATTTTAATTTAATTTAATTTGTTTTATTTATTTTTTAAATTTCATTTGTTTAAAAAAAAAGGGAAGAAAATCAAATTCAACCAAGGTATTTAAAAATCCTGTAAGGAAGGGATTATTTTTGGGATTCATCCAAGCAAATTGGAAATCACAATCAATTGGTAACCGTTGACCTCCATTAAACAGGATTAAAATCCCAAGATTCAAAGGCTGATTGGGATTGAATCTGTTCAGAGACAAATTCGATCAATCCCCAAAAATTTTATTGAAAAAGTCTATAAATGATGCCCAAATATCACATCAGAAAGAGGACAACAATAAACTTTAGTGAAAAGATTTTGGTTTTAATTCTGGGCAATGGTTCTTGGTACAAGGGAGATTAGTTTCTAATTAGAATTTGGTTCTCAGTTTCTTGAAATCTTAATGTTGAAACTGAGGCTCCTCTGGAGTTTCATCTTTTGAATTTGTGGATTGTTGGAATTTGGGAATATTGAATTGGATTTGATTTTGATTTCTGGGTATGAAGCTCTTTTGGTTTTTGGAATTCATGTTTGGAAATCTGTCAGAAAGTTTGTTTTTTTGGGTTGGAATTGAATGTTTAGATTTAGGTAATTTTTTGATAATCCAAGTTGAAATTTGGGTTTTTCTGGGAATAGCTGTTTTTGTTTTTTTGGAAAAAAATTAGGTTTTTTGGGTTGATCATGACTTTTTTGGTTGGACTTTGAAGATTTCGATGATATTCACGATGGTTGGAGGATCTTGAACGGCAGTTTCTAGGTCTATTTGAAACTTTCGATGGCCAATTGAATTTTTCAATGCCAAAATCTAGAGTTTTTTGCTCGATGTTCTTGGTTTTCTAGTGGAGTTAGAGAGGGACCAAAAAAATTTTTTCTAGAGAAAGAAGGAACCCAAACCTTCTGAAGGAAAAGCCAAATTTTTGCTTTATATACATGATCAAAACGATCTCATTTTTAGCTAAGCCAGGATTTGATTGACCCACATAGGATCCTTGCACCACCCGTATGTGTAACCCGACCCTTCTGCTAAGTAATTCCTTTTATCTTTTAATTTATTTTATTTATTTTTTAGATATTATTATTATCATCATCATCATTTGATTCAATATTTTAAATTAAACAATTTCTATTTTTTTTTACTTATTTATTTGTTTATTTTTTAAAAAAATGTCTTTATTTATTCATTTGTTTATTAAAAAAATGACTAACAATATTTTAAATTAAATTCATGAATCCTACCAAACTATTAGAGAATTTTTCATGAATTAAAATTTTTTATAAATTCTACCAAACTATTGAAAATTCTCATAAATAAATTTTTACTAATAAAATATTTTATTTTAATCCTACCAAATTATTGAAGGATTTGCATCTTAAGTTATGTATTATCAAACTATTGAAAGATTTAATACATTTTCTAAAAATAAATTTACAAGAAAATCTCACCAAACTATTAGGAGATCTGTATCAAAGTAAATCTTATCAAACTATTGAAATATTTTCTTAATTATTTTCTTGAATAAAAATATATTAGCAAATCCGATGATGGAGCCTCTTCAGAATGAGACACTAGTTTTTATGAATACTTTTGAAGTGAGAAAATTATCTTAAATTACTACCAAACTATTGGAGTAATTTTAAGATTAATTTTTAATAATTAAATTATTTGATAAATTTACAAAAAAACTTTATGACTTGGTTAATTTGAAATCAAACTGGTACTATCTTTTGGATAGGCGTTGTGAGGGTGCTATAATTTTTTTTACATATAACCGTACTCTCGAACCTAAAATTTGATTTCGTAAGCTAAAATCTACCATTTAAAGATACTTAAGTCAATTTTGAGACTTCTCTTTAAATATGATAGACTTAGTCAAGTGGCTAATCGCACTTAAACAAAAAAAAATTAGTAGCAACTCCTAAAATTTATATTTACCTGTATTTTCACAAATTTATATGTTATGACAGTTTGACTACTCTACTAAGGATGTAGTGAGTTAGGCCAGTAAATGATTTCTAGTTATCCAAGCCTAATTTAATAAATTCAAGGTTTTTTTTCCTACATGTATTTTTTTTTCTTTATTCACTTATTCATTTTATATATTTGTCATTCATTTGCATGTGTATAACATGGACTCTACACCCGAGTTTTATCTTTTAGGTGGGAGTAAAGTACCTTCATGAGATTTTATGTCTCTGTATGGACTAACGAAATACTCTCACTCAAATTGAACCATTTCCACTTATAGCTTATAATGGGCAAGGATTTGGGTCTTTTACTAATTGGTGATGGACAATGATGTAAGAAACAATTTGAAAATCTTTTAGAAGTAACCCAAGCTACATATAGTTAACCTTATAAGCTTAACTTGTAGGTAAAGCCATGTTCCTTTACTTGTCATAGTTAATCAGAAACTTAGAGTCATGTTTGTTAGCCTTGAATTGATCTTTATTTTGAAATGATAAAATATTAAACTAAATAAGCTTGATTAAGGTTTTAAAAAAAATTCTTTAATACAAGTTCTTAAGTTTTATTATTTTAGTCCTAAATAAATAATATGATTTTCAAAGTTTAAAAAAACCTTTCTTTATGAGTTTTCTCAAATCGAAGGTATCTTTAAACATTATTTATTTGAGTTTAAATGAAAGTCCAATTGTTGTTTTTAAAGTGAACTTATTCATTTTGGACTCAATACAATTTTGATAATATTGGCTTTGAGAAATAGATTAACTTAAAAAAATTGTTTTACAAGAACAAAGTTTGTCAACAGTGAACTTGTTTTGTTTTTCTGTATTAATTCACAAAGTTTTAATGTTTGAATTTTATATGGTTGGAACGATCTTTGAGTCTACTTTGTAATGGATCAAACAAAATTTAAATTTAAATTTTCTACGAAAAGATTTTAAATTTTTACTAGACACTTTGTAGTTGTCTAAAAACTGCACAAGGGGTAGATTTGAAAAGTCACCATAATTCATATACAATGAATTAAGTGATGAATTTTATATGGATAAAAATCCCTTTAAGTCTAGTTTCCAAATCTTCAAATGGTTTTTGATTTGAAATTGTATAACTCAAGATATAATCAAATTAGTGAGTAAAGTATAAAACAAGAGACAACCGCCTAGCTTAATCGGATTGATCCTCTGGCTAAACCAATTGATCCCTTCTTGTAATAGATCGATTGATTTTTCTTATAGAAACAAAATAGATTTAAAAAACACCAAAAGGGATCGATCAAGTAAGGCATAGGATCGATCCCCTATCAAAACCAATCAATCGAGTTTGCCTAGATATATGCATAATGGCTAGTTTTTTAAGCTTCCAACGGGTATTTCATATTCCACACTATCTCCAACGGCTAGTTGTTCAATTTTTCTATATATAGGACATTCTAACACAC